GTTTGGCGTAGCACTTGGAATTCAGTTTGTTGATTTTCTGGCGATCGACCCACCCCATGAAATATTTAACATTCCCAGTATCTGCTCCAAAGCAAGGGAAAATAAGGAAAACAAAGGCAAGCCTGGTGATTCTGTTTTTCAGTTTCTTTATCAATAAAGAATTAGTTACCGTGTACTACTGAACTTTTTTTATTTGCTAAAAACATTATTTTTATAAACAACTAGAATGCATACAATTTTAACAGTTATGTTTAGTCTGAAGGTTTAATGATGATAGGTTTCTGAAGGTGTTCTAGTAATTGATGCAAAGATGAAATTGCTATATCGCAAGGAGGTGTCCCTGGGGTGAGCTCACTAGCTTTTGATGCATCATTAAGCAACAGAGCAGTCACTAAGAATAAATTAATTATCAATAATAAACCAAAGAGCATTAAGTAGATCTACAAGGTTTTTAAAAATTAAGTTATCACTTTAATTAAAATTAAAGGTTCCATGTCAAATTCACTGAAGTTTATGAGCATGCAATTAAAAGTAACAGACTTAAAGGAAATATTATTACTTTACTTACTTGTTCCTGCTTTGTGTCCACTAATGACGTCAGCTTTATCATCACCAACGACCAGAATATTCTCCGCTGGTAGCTCCCAGTTTAATGCCATGTGGGAGACAGGGGCTGGATCAGGTTTGTTTGGCTGAAACTCGCGAGTAACAACCTGAAGATGATCAAACATTGTGTGATGTGAATTTAATATAATGTAGAAGCTACTTTGATAAAATACTTTGCACTAAATATAATGTAAAAATGCTCATAACTCTAAAAATTTAAACCGGAATCAGCTCAAACTTTTATAATCGCATAAGGTATTAGAAAATGTAATTACCCTTGCCACGCGTAGGCGTATGGGCAAGGGTACCGTATAGCCAAAAAATTTCGTGAGGAATAAATTTTCGTATTTTCGTGATCACTGTTTGCATCACGAAAAATTAAACCCCCGAAAATTAATATTAATTGAGAGGCGTGGTTAGCCACGCCTTACTAATAAAAGTGCCCTCGTGTCAAGTCGTGTTCTCGGTCAAGCTGATGTCTCTGTTACTCTGTATTGCTATTTTAAGCATACTGCCTAGGTCAAAGATGATGATCTTTCCCATCTCTGGTGTCCACATGGTGCCCCTTGACACAAGAGTCCGTCTCAAACATTGAATCTGCCATGTTTTAATTAAATAAGGCGTGGTCATTATTATTATTAAAATTAAATCACGAAAATATTTATCACGGAATTTAAAATTTCTCCATAAATTTCATTATTCACGAAATTTTAAGCCTCGAAAATTTTTGGCTATACGGTATATGAGTCGATTTGTCAGTGTTTGTGTAAGCAACTAATCTGAAAAAGCGGCTCCTGCTGTCAGGATAAAAACTCCAGAGACTCAAAACTAGTTTCTCTGCCTTTATTAGACTGTTTTCTTTCATTTTAAGAGCTTTCTACTCACTTTTTTAGGTTGCAAAAGCTGGCAAAGTCGAAGTAAAGAGCGCTCAACTGGGTAACTTTTTTGTTACAGCAGTAGCAGAGTTTGTTGTGCCACCATAAGAAAGATAGCATCATTTCACTCAAAAAATATGTGGGGATTTTCTTACTTCTCTTTCTTTGGTATGATATGACAGTGTAAAAACTGTCCTAGGTCAAATACGGCCTCTTGAATCTCAGTAGAAAAGGCAGCCAGTATCCTGAAACTGGCTTAAAGTAGAAAGAAGTCTTCAAGGAACTAGTAGAGCCTACTAAATGTGTCCAAAGAGCTTTTACAACTTAGAAAACCTCAAGCTTTTGAGGGCCTAACTGTGTATATGTAGCCATATTGGCACTTGAAACCAGTGAAACCACACCTATACAATTAATTAGTCTGTTATTAGCCACACCTTTCATCAATCATTAAAATAAATCTATTGCTTGTGTGGCAAGGGTATGCACTTTTAGTGCTTTTCATTAAAAAATTTGTTACAATTTTATGGCCATTTTTCAGAAAATATCATGGGCTATAGCCTTGTGTATTTTTCAGAATTTTGACGTTTTTTTAAAATGGCAGTAACTTAAAAAATTGAAGTCGGAATCACCTCAAACTTTCTACACAGCATAAGGACATCAATATGTATCAGAAAATGTAATAAAAATTGGGGGTGATTTTGGAGCCAATTTTTGAAAAAACCATGGGCTATAGCCTTAGGTATTTTTCAAAATTTTGAGGTTTTCTTAAAATGGCCGTAACTTGAAAAATTGAAGTCGGAATCACCTCAAACTTTCTACACAGCATAAGGACATCAATATGTATCAGAAAATGTAATAAAAATTTGGGGTGATTTTGGAGCCATTTTTTGAAATAAACCATGGGCTTATAGCCTTGTGTATTTTTCAGAATTTTGACATTTTCTTAAAATGGCTGTAACTTGAAAAATTGAAGTCGGAATCACCTCAAACTTTCTACACGGCATAAGGACATCAATATGTATTAGAAAATGTAATAAAAATTGGGGGTAATTTTGGAGCCATTTTTTGAAAAAAACCATGGGCTATATAGCCTTGTGTATTTTTCAGAATTTTGACGTTTTCTTAAAATGGCCGTAACTTAAAAAATTGAAGTCAGAATTAGCTCAAACTTTCTACATAGCATAAGGACATCAATATGTATCAGAAAATGTAATAAAAATTGGGGGTGATTTTGGAGCCATTTTTTGAAAAAAACCATGGGCTATAGCCTTGGGTATTTTTCAGAATTTCGGCCTTTTCTTAAAACGGCCGTAACTCAAAAAATTGAAGTTGAAATTAGCTCAACTACATAGCATAAGGACATCAATGCATATCAGAAAATGTAATAAAAATTGGGGGTGATTTCGGAGCCATTTTTTGGAAAAAACCATGGGCTATATATAGCCTTGGGTATTTTTCAGAATTTTGAAGTTTTCTTAAAATGGCCGTAACTTGAAAAATTGAAGTCGAAATTAGCTCAAACTTTCTATATAGCATAAGGACATCAATATGTATCAGAAAATGTAATAAAAATTGGGGGGTGATTTTGGAGCCAATTTTTGGAAAAAACCATGGGCTATAGCCTTGTGTATTTTTTAGAATTTTGACATTTTCTTCAAATGGCCGTAACTCAAAAAATTGAAGTTGAAATTAGCTCAACTACATAGCATAAGGACATCAATACATATCAGAAAATGTAATAAAAATTGGGGGTGATTTCGGAGCCATTTTTTGGAAAAAACCATGGGCTATAGCCTTGGGTATTTTTCAGAATTTTGACATTTTCTTAAAATGGCCGTAACTCCAAAAGTTGAAGTTGAAATCAGCTCAAACTTTCTACACAGCATAAGGACATCAATATGTATCAGAAAATGTAATAAAAATTTGGGGTAAATTTGGAGCCATTTTTGGAAAGTACCATGGGCTATAGCCTAGCCTTGGGTATTTCTAAAAGTTGCTACTTTTATTGTTCACAACTCGTGTATATGAATCAGTAAATGTAACAAAAATGGAGAACACTATTTTTTCAATATGACATTAAGACAATACAACAGTGTATTATCATGTACTTGTGAGAATATTTTCACTGAAGTGAGTGAAGAATAGATGGCAGCAGAACCTGCCAGACTTTCCTGCAGTTTAGCTAAAAATAACTCTGCACTGCTCTTTGAGTTACGTGTTAATAATCCTCTCTTTATCTACATAAAAGAAACAAATCATTAACAAGTCAACTATCACTGATATTGCACTAACACTTTTGCTAGCTAAGAAATCAAGTAACTCCAGCACTCCAGGCTGCAACTCCATTTTTCTATTTGCTTCTTCTTCGATGCTTTCAACAATTTGCAGTGCAGTAGTCTTATCAGGCAATGGAAGGGAGTTTACATGAGTCAGTATGTCACTCCCTGGTTTTATCCCTAGTTGCCTACGCATTTCAGCAAAGTTTAAAATTGGTTTAGTAAGTGTGCCATCCATGTCAAAAATAACACCTTTAATAGGTATAAAACCAGACCTGACAATTAATAAAAAATAATGCAGATTTTTTATTATCACTAATTGTTTTACCCTTGAGTTCCTCTGTCAGTCATTTGTTGACTTCCTTCTCCTTTTAACCATTTGCTTGCTAAGGCTAGCTCTCTCCTATACAGTAGACTCATTTCTAATAATAACCCTCTATTGACTGACACACCTCCACAAATAAACATGTACATGTACACCCAATGTACAGCACATATATGTACGTATTCAAGATGTATTTATTGGAAAGTAGATCATTAATAATAATTATTACAAGAGTTAAAACAGTGCTTATGCCTGCATATTATACATTATATTCCTATAAATATTAAGTCTCGAATCAAATGTAATATCTCGAAGGTACAAAAGGCATCTTTACTACTCTTCCATTCACAGTGTGCTTCCTTATTTGGACGTTGACGACAGTACCGATTTTGCAAAATTGACGAGGAAGATAAGCCATTGCAATGTTATACTGTAACGTAGGGCTGGGGGTCCCTGATGTTATGTAACCTAAAGGAAGAGAAGGTCATAAGCTGGATATGTAATGCTGTTTAAATGGAGTAAAATGCATTAAGTATTGAGTAAAATGCATTAAGTATTGAGTAAAATGCATTAAGTATTGAGTAAAATGCATTAAGTATTGAGTAAAATGCATTAAGTATTCAAGTGTAGAGTAGGTTCTTTTATTCACTAAGAAAATTACACAAAAAGTTAATGGAGGAAAAATTGCATTTCATTCCTTACCTATTTTAAGTCCATCACTATCTATTACCTGACAACCCTCTATAAATCAATAGTATACTAAAAATGATGCAAAGATATGCAAGACTAATTACCCCTAGCTGGTGGCCCTGATTTAAGTTCTAATCCAACCCGCCTTTTAGAAGGCTTGTCCTTTAGCTGCTGAAGTATTGGACCAGCTCCTAAAAAGTTTCCATCTTTCCGTCTAGTTTTATCTAGAAATAAAAAGAATATGAGCGGCATATTTTCTACAAAAAACATTCATACCAATACACCAAGCTAAGCTAGCCTCAATTGGTGTAGTCTCTTCAGATATATCATTGCCATAGAGACACAGCCCGGCCTCCAGCCTCAGCACATCCCTTGCACCCAGTCCAGCCAGTTTGACAGGATCAGCAGCTAATAATGTATCGACCAACTGAATAACATCAGTGCTTGGAACAGAAATCTGAATATAAAAATAATTTATAATTTATTGTATCATTTTACCTCAAAACCGTCTTCTCCAGTGTAACCACAGCGAGAGACCCTACAGTCCGGGATACCAAAGAGGCTCATGAGGGCACTGCTCATGAACTTGAGCTGAGATAAATCTCCTTTGACTCCTTCCTGAAGGACACTAGCACTCTTTGGGCCTGCAGATGAAAGAGAGAGAGAGGGAGAAAGGGAGAGTTTATCTCTTGCTAAATGGAGAACAAGCTAAAGCAGATCACCTTGCAATGCAACCAATGCTCTCTCACTGAGTGAAGTAAGAACAACTTTATCATCACCAAACTCCCTCAGCTGAGTCTAAAGAAACAAAGCAGTAAGCATTACACACAAAACAATAGTCAAAAAACTGCATTGATAAAGCCACTATGCATTAATACAATTCTTCATTGCTTTAGCTAACCTGTAGGTGCTCATTAATCACATCAGCTCTGCCTGCATTAGATACTACAAAGAATGACTGAGGGCCAGTTCTTGTTATAATGCAGTCATCAATAATACCACCTTGTGCTATAGTGAACATGGATAGAACAGCTAAGAAGAGAAGAGAGAGAGGAGGGAGAAGAAGAGTGAAATCATCATGTGCATGTCTTACCATTTCCATTTTTAAGATTCGCTAAGTTTGCAACTGTCAGATACTCAAGAAACTTTTCAGCACCTTTGCCAGTAACTTGAGTCTAAGGAGACAATAATTAACTGATAATTATAGGGTATGACCCGGGCCTACTTGCAGCATGTGTGATACATCAAACAGTGAGGAGCTGCTTCTCGTGTGAAGTGAAGAATTAATGACACTCAGATCCGAGTATTGAACTGGCATAGACCAACCAGCAAAAGGGACCATCTTACCACCATTGCTTAAATGGAAATCGAAAAGTGGGGTCTTTTTGAGATCTTCTGCTGTACTAAACTGCATGCAAATATAAAATGCTTTTACAAGTTTTTAATTCTAATTTTTTAAAACCTTTTTAGCACAAAATGAGGCATTGGCCCTCACTGCAGTAGCTCTAGAGCTGCTCAAAAAAGCACTTCTTAAAAATATCGATACAGTAGCCATGTTTTATGATGCCACGCCTAATAATAAGGCGTGGCTCATTATGAGTGGTTTATTAACTTTTATTAATAACCACAACCCCGCCTTTTAAAATGGCGCCCTTGTGTATCCATGGCAACTAGTTAAAAAAACATGGCTGCTGAAGAAGAAAATTTAAGAGAAACTTTCAACGAAATAGAGGTAACACTAAATATATACTTTGTTTTATAATTTCCATTTAAATAGAGTGAGCTTGCAGTACTCAATAAAACTCCAGTCTCGTTTGTTGTCGTTGGAAAACCAGTAAGCTATCAAGCTATCTGTCTTGCAGTGATGGTAATGTGATTGTACTGTTTAGGGCTCAGGAAAGAGCACTCTAGCAAAGAGGCTAGCTGCTGTCTGGAAATGTCAGCTAGTTGATGGTTAGCAATTGACTTATTGTGCACTTTTAAAAATTTATTTATCTTTTACTTCTAGGTACAAGCACTATTGAACAAATTATTAAAGAAGGCACTTCTGAACTAGCTAAGGAAGTAAGGATTAAATGAATGGAACAGCACAAATGATGTACATGTACATGCAGGTCAGACAAGTGTTGTATACTGGTAAAGAAATCAGTGAAGAATTAGTGGCACGGGTCATTAAGGATAAACTAGTCTCATCTGAAATACAACATTATGGTGAGAAAGAGAGGTGATGATTAGAATTGGCTTTTTAAATTTTTTGGTTTCAGGATATGTTCTTGATTGCTTGCCTTCGTTTGATGAATCATGGAAGAATGTTCCACAGCAGATTGAGTTTTTGAAGACACTGCCTCAGCCACCCACTGTCATAATTAATTTGAAGGTAAGAGAAAGCTAGGGATGGGTTTCCCACAAAGCATGCTAAGTGAGCTAAACAGCATGAGCTTCATGAGCTGATAAGCACTGCAATATAGTACATGACATTTGGAGCAACTTTTATAAAAAATTCAATTTTGATTGGAATCATCTCAAATTTCTACACAACATAAATACATCTATGTATTAGAAAAAATTGTTCTTTTTGTCATTTTTTAGATACCTGATGTAGACCTTTTAAAGAGGAGAGTTGGTCAAAGAGTTGATCCAATGAATAACGAAGTCTTCATTAAGCCAGTCTATGATCCTGACGGCCCTTTAGCTAACGCACAGCAAAAGAAAAAAGACGACGATGACGATGAAGACGAAGACAAAGAAGAGAGTAAAGAAGAAATGGAAGATGATATGGATGATGAGGAAGGCAATGCTGATCGAGATGAGTTTCAAGATGATTTGGTTGGTTGGCTGTTCATTATTTGTCAATGATTATGTCTTTAATAGGGTGAAGTTGATAGCCTCCATTTGTTAGCTCCTAACATTGCTGATAGGTTGGTCATAAGGGCCAGGGACAAGATGGCTAATGTGAAGGAAGAGATTAAATATTACAAAGAAAATGTCCTAAGTCATATTGAGGTAAGTATAATACGTATCATCTAGAAATTTAGAAGAGGTTGGAAGAAAAATTTTTGAGCCACATACGTGTATTAATACTTCTTTCACATCCACAAAAGTTACATGTACATACACATGTTGAGTACCCATCACCATTTAATATTTACGCTTATTTTTTCTCTTTTCTCAGGATTATATTATTCAGCATAATCATCAATATGTCATTGAATTGGATGCAAGTCTCTCTTCAAAGGAGCTCTTTAGAGTAAGTTCATGTACATGAACACATGAACACATGAACACATGTACTATTATGTATGAGTATTACTCGTGATTCTAAATCATTCCATTCCTTTTCCATCTATTCTTATCTTTATTCATTTCTTTCTCTCAGTCTCTTTTGTTGCGTCTCACTGCTCTTGGTTTAAGGAGAGCCATAGCTCCAAAGCGTCTAGTTGAGCCAGAGGATGATGAAGTTGATAATGACATTGAACACACAGACCCTAACATGTTCCTTGCTCAAGTAGCAGGTAAAACAGTTCTTTTTAAAAAAATATTCTTATTTTTTAAAACTATTTCTTTTTTTCTCATTCTTTCTATTGTAGATACTAATATTTTAATGCCAAAATTTCGTTGGAGGAGATCAAAATGGGGCCAGTTTTGTCCAGTTGAATTATACAAGGGTAATCTTGTCAAGGGAAGACTGGAATATTCAGTTGGGTATGTACATGTACATGTACATGCACATTCAAAACTGTATAAAAATTTTATGATCAGACTTAAATAGTTATGGAACATACATGTATATATGTACTTGTATAACTCTGTGAACTTTGTTTCTATTTCTCCTTTTCTCTCCCTCTCCTACAGTTTAATGGATAAGATGTACTGCCTCTCATCCAATACAGCATTTGCTGACTTCATCAGATGCCCCAGACGCTATCTCTTGCCTCCTTCCCCTCGGATACCCTGCAAGATATGCGTATTAGGTCCTCCAACTTCTGGAAAGACTTCTTTATCGAAAGCGTTAGCTGAGCACTACAATGCAACAGTGAGTGTAGTAGGCTTGTTAATATTCATGTGTTTGTGTGTGTTTTATCATTAGGTTATTAGTGTTGAAGAGTTGGTGAGACCAGTTTTGGACATTATGATGGAGAAAGCAGTTGATGAAGCAGTTCAAAAAGCTAGAGATGATACTGTGGCCAGACTAAAGGCTGAGCAAGAAGTTCTCCAAGCACATAAATGTACCATAATATATGTATATTAATTGATGTGCAGTATATTTGCATTGATTGATGTACAGTATATGTACATGTAAATCTCTGTCTCTTAATTCTTCTCTTCATCTTTTTTTGATCTTTCTAAAATACATTTTTACTGTATTTTTGTCTCAATTTTCTTCTTTTTTTTGTCATTCATTTTTTCCTTCTTTTTCCTCTCAGATGAAGATGGCTCAAGCCCACCTCCAATAGTCATCCCAGAGGATCATGCTGATATACTGACAGCCATTAAAGAAGCAGAAGAGAAGACAAGAAGCAAAGGAGGCGACCCATCTCCTGAAGTTTATGTAGAAGCACTTTCTCTTGGCATACAACAAGCCGAAGAGGCCAGGAGGAATTGTGAAGATGATGACAGGATGTAAGTACATGATAAATAGGAATTGTGCATGTATAATTATAGTACATGTTCATGATGGCCATAGACTTATTTTCACTGTATTCTGTACCTTTTCTTATGCTCAGATATGGTGGCTGGGTTGTTGATGGATTCCCACTATTAAGAGAGCAATGGAATACAATGGTTGAGTCTGGCTTTATCCCAGATGCTGTCATTAATATAGAAGCAGATGAAGAAGGAGGCAGCAGAGTATTAATGAAACGATACTGTGATGCTAATGACATACCTTACCCTGAGGAGAAGGAGAAAGCAGCTAACACTGAAGGAGCTGAAGATGGAGGGAATAAAGTTAGTATAAATAAATTAAAGTTAAAAACAACAATAATAAAAATAAAGTTAGTTAGTTATACATGTACATGTATGTATTACAAGTTAATTTATGCTATGCAGGTGACTGTATTGCCAGAGGAGGTGGAGAAGTGGCAGAAAGAGATTTCGCTCTATGAAACACAATGGAGCTCATTGTTAAGCTCCATTAGTGCTTCAAGCACTGTTGATCAGTTCAAGATATCAACATCATTATCAGTGGATGATGCTGTGATGACTGCTGTACAGCACATGGAAGGTATATTACATGCAGCAGGGTTTCCCGCAAAGCATGCTAAGTGAGCTAAAAAGTATGAGCTTCATGAGCTGACAAGCACATGATAATTAACATTTGGCTTTTGGAGCAACTTTAAAAATTCATAAAAAATCACATTTTGATCAGAATTAGCTCAAACTTTTTATGATGTACTGGTAACAGTATGTGGCAATTTATTAATTTTATTTCATTTCTTGTATTATTTCTTTCAACCCTTGCCCTCCTCCCCATGTAGATATATTCACTTTGACTCCAACTGATATCTCAGGACAAGATGAAGAAGATGATGGTGATGATGATCCTGTTCTTCATGAAGGTACATGTACATTAATACTCTTTCGGCTTTATTGACCATTTGCTCCTCTCCTTTTTTTTCTCGTTAGTTGTTGAAGAAGAAGAAGAAGAAGAGGATGAAGAGAGAGAGGCAATGGAAGCTAAAAAGAGAAAGCCTTGGGGCGACAGTTATCATTTCTGTCCTGTTGCTCTTTTTGAGAGCAATGTCCTCTGGCCGGGACAAGCTGAGCATGTCGTCCGATATAAGGACAAACTTTATTTCTTTAGTTCTGAGGAGGCAAAGAACAAATTCCTTGCTAGCCCAACCAAGTTTGTTGGTGAACATAAACCACTTAAAGTAAGGAAGAGAAAAGTATGAAACAAAGAGTGTCAATGATTTACATGTAGGCCTGTGTTCATAATAGTATATACATGTATGAATAAATTTCATACACATACTGTATATGTACATGTACATGTAATGCAGTCAGTACATATATGTACATGTACTGTATATGTATTATGTGTAATGTTTTTTCTTCATAGCCGCCTGTCCCTCGGATTTTCCTGCTAGGACCCACGGCCTCAGGAAAGACTGAAGCCGGAAGGATCCTTGCCAAGAGACTGGGAGTGTTTCATATTTCATTCAGAGAGTACCTTCAAGATCAGATACTCCCGAAAATGAAATGGCCCCCACTCCTGGACCCTGATGAGAGAGAAGGGGTTGAAGAGAAGGATAAAGAAGGTAGTACCAGCACACACTTTTCATGTATAATAATTAATGCATGTACATTTATGCGTCCAACACATTATGATTTAAACCTATTATTATTTAGATTCTGATGATGAGATTGAAGCAATGACAGGTAATGATCTTGATGAAGATGTAATGGAGGCATTGGATGAGAGGGAGACAGAGCTAAGAGCACATTTACTGAACAGTGAGCCATTGTCAGAGGAAGCATTAGAAGACTATGCTACCGAGTTTTGGAAGGAAGAGCCTTACAAGTAAGACAAAAGAAAAAAAATACTTTGTAGTTTCTGCATTTTGCGGAGTAATTACATGTATAATGTACACTGCATGAATGTGAAGCAAATTATGTACTAGTATCTGGCCGAAATGTTAAGTGATCAAAAATCCATAGGTCAACTGGATTCATTATGGAGGGTTTGCCTCATCACGGAGATGACTTGAGATATCTCTGCTCTAAAGGACTCTATCCTGATGCTGCTGTCATACTAGAGGTCAGGAACATTAGGAATTAAAGATATACCTTTTAAATGTATATCATAACTTCCCTCTCTCTTCCTACTTCTTTCTCTCTCACTCTCTCACTCTCTCTCTCCTGTTTGTTCATGTACATGTACATGTATTTATAGATTGATGAGGATAACATGTTAGACAGGGTCCTACCAAAAAGGATGAACATATGGAGGGATAGGAGGAACAGAAAGCTTGAAAGGAAAAGACTAGCCAGAGAAAACGCACTGAAAGAATGGGAGGAGAGCAGAGCAAAGAGAAAGGTAGAAATTGAGGAAGACTACAAAACTAAAAAAGCCGAATATGACGCAACCAAGAAACAGCAGCAAGGTAAGTTTATATAGTAGCTCTTCCTTCTCCCTTCACTTTTATTTTGTCTTTATTTAAAGAGGAAGGAGGAGGGGAAGATGGTGAAGATGAGGACGATGATGAGGAGGACCCTTTCATTGACGAGTTTAACGAGCAGTTAGCTGAAATAGAAGCCGAAGAGCCTCCGGAAGAAGAGGAGGAGGAGGAGGAGACAGAGGAAGAGGTGGAGGACAGGATGAGAACATCCATACATGAGAAATACGAAGAACAAACCGAATCATTATCAGGAATACAAGTATGTGTACATGTACAAGAATGTTTGATGTTCTTTTTTTAGGACGTGTTAACTGAATTTCAGATTCCTTGTCACACAATCTCTGCCAGTCGTAAAGTGTCTGTAGTGATATGCCTCATGCAAAAGGCAATGAAGCAATACTTCAGCAACAGAAGTGGGATACTAACTAAATGTACACCCATTGATCCATTTAGTGCCAAGAAACTACTAGACCATAGCTACAAGCAAATAAGCAAGTTCGGCTACTGGTGCCCTGTCAAGGTAGGGTATCTACATGTAAATGTACATTTACAGTGTACATACATGTACATGTATTATGGACAGGTGTCTAAATTAAAGATACAGTACATGTAGAAACTATACAAGCTAAGTCTTCAATTTGACAATAAGCAGTACATATTCATGTACATGTACATGCATGTACTGGATAGTGTATTTCTGTCCTTCTATTGCTTCTTTTTTTCTTTCACTAGCTAAAGGAGGAGCCACACTCCATTCTTCCACCTCCTTCTATAAAGGCTACATTTCCTGTTATTTATCGTCAGAGGGTCTATTTCATGTCCTCTGTCTCCCATCGCTTGGAGTTCATTGCTGATCCAGAGTCATATCTTGCTCAGGAAGTGCCTCACTTGCCCGTACCAATGTGTCTAGCAATTGTAGGCCCACCAAAATCAGGAAAAACTACAGGTATACATGTACGTGTACATGTACTGCATATATGCATGCATTAAAAGTTGCTCTAAAATTGGATCAAAGATCATGTGGTAATTCATCAAAAAATAGCTAGAGGAGAATTCTTCATTTTAATATTTTTTGATTATCATTATTATTATTATTATTATTATTATTATTATTATTATTACTATTATAGTTGCAGAGAGGTTTGTTGCTAACTATGGCTGTGTTCGTCTCTCTATTGGTGAAGCAATAAGACAAGTGCTGGACCTCTTCCCTGACTCAGACCTAACGGAACAAATGCTCTCTCATTTGAGAGTCGGTCAAACACTGCCTGATGAGCTGTGTGTGCTAGCGCTAGAGAGAGCACTGCTGGATGTAACCTCATCTACTAGAGGGTGAGGACAATGAGTCACTAGAAAAATAGAATGAAATACCCATATCACATGTACATGTACTAATACCCATACCCCATGTACATGTACATGCATGTACATGTACATGCATGTACATGTCACTATAAAGAAAGTAATACTAACAATTGGATACCAGTAGCTCTTGCTGATAGCCCATCAACTTGTTTTTGTCATTTGTGTCTCCCCTCCTCTGTCATTTTCTCTGTCTACATTGTAAAAGTCTATTATTGAATTATTAAATTAATAGAGTAGACAGTAGGCTCTGACAATGTTATTAAAATGTACATGTATGTGTACATTATGTACTGCATATGTACATGTACATTATGTACTGCATATGTACATGTACATTGTCTATAATGTACATGTACATATACATGCATGTACATTTTCTACAAGTACATTATGTTACATTGTGTCTCTTGCTTGTTTCAGGTATGTACTTGATGGTTGGCCACTAACCAAGGCTCAGGTTGATCTATTGAATAAGTATCGGATCATACCGGTTAGAATAGTAGAGATAAAGATCACTAATGAAGAAATGCTGAAGAGAGCTGAGTTAATAAGACAATCGGACACTGAACGGTAATTGGTAATAATATTGTTTAATACTTTACTAATCTAACCACATACATTGTACATACATATATATAGTCCATTTCCAGTTCATGATTCGCCATCAATATTACTAACAAGAAGTGGTCATTATCACAAAAATGTTGATGCCATTAGAGACTGGTACAGCCAAGAGCACGACAACTGGTCCGTCATCGATGGAGAGAGAAACTGTTGGCACGTTTGGCGTCAGGCCCACACTGTAGCACTAAAAACTGCAGTACAGATACAACAGTATCTTGTTAGAGTCACTGAAGGTAAGATTGCACTGGAGATGATAAAATCTTAGACTAAGTTTAGTATTAAAAGTTTTACATTTTATCTTAATTTTGTAGGTAGTGCTGCTTCCATTAATTGCTTGTGTGTGACACAGAAAGAGTTTGAAGCTCGTCTTGGTTCGTTTGGTGATTATTGTCCAGTTAGTTTTGTGGAAAGAGGAGAACTTTGTGACTGCTCCGGTCAGCTTTCTCTTGAATACGCAGTAGAATATAAGTCTCATTATTACAGGTACTGAAATACATGCACTGTATGATTGCAATATTAATGCTTTGCTTGTTTTGTGCTGTAGGACTGCAGGAGAGTCTGAGCTAAAGTTATTTCTGTCTGATCCTGGTTCTTATGTTAATCCAGAGGTTAAGCTGCCTCCTGATCTTCCTTGCAGGCTCACTGAAATGGAAATAAAACAAATGTTTCCGAGACAATTTGAGATTCGAGGATTTTGTCCGGTTACTTATTGTGATGGAAAAAAGAAGTATGTTACTATTTTTATTTTCTCTTCAATTTATGCCTCCCCTAAATACTAAGTACTTCATTCATATACATAATTGTACCATTTTTAGATATAAGTCATTGGTTCCTGGTGACTCACAATGGTCTGTTGAATATAAAGGGAAGCTTTACTGTTGTGCCTCTAATGAGAAACTAGACAAATTCATGAGGCAAGTTCACACGTAATAATGTAATGTATATTTACATGTACATGTACATTACATGCTACAGGCGTCCATTTGATTATGAGGTGACCAAGTTACCAGTTAAACTACCTCCCATCAAACAGTCCCTCCCTGTCATCTCCTTACCAATGCTTGGCTATATGGAGCAGTCTGTGGCTACACCAATCATTAATAGTCTCACAGCTGTTGGCTGTCTCAAGCCGAAGTTCCCATTTCTCACTGCAACGCAGTCTGCTCTTGTTTTTGTTGCTCTTCATCTTAAAGGTACATCAGCAGTACATTACGTGGATGCATAAAAGAAGCTATAATGATTATTTTGTCTTTTTTTGTTGCAGCTTACAACCCAAGGAGTAGCCCCTACACACGTGAGAAGTACATTCTCAAACTGGAGCGGTTCAAGGAGCACTGTAAGCTCATTGCTCTCCTTGGAAAGGACATGAAGAATGGATATCAGGAGCCTAAAGAGAGACCACTCGAGTTTGAGGGTCGCATGGTGAAGTTTTTGGATTTAATCAGAACATAGTTATAATACAAAAAATAACAAAAAATAGATTACAGTTTTACAATACACACTAATGTGATGCATGGATACTATTAAGTTATTATAATAATCCTTAATTCATTAAAAATTTAAAGTTATATTTTTATTATTCCTGTACAATTTTTTTTCACTCCTGGAAAAATGATTAGGATATTACATATAATGGTGAATAGATACTGCTAACTTCATCACTAATCAGCAGCGGATCTGAATGATGAGTCTGTCACTAAACGACTTAATTTTCTTTCTCTAGTTGAATTGGTTCGTATCAAATTCGTGGCTTGATTTTTCCTACGCTGTGTAATTTAAAGAACAATGCTTCTTTATCATTTTAAACAATTAATGCAAAGCGACACACCTGTGCTCTCTTTTTGCAGAAGCATGCCATAACAGAGTCTTTTATCTGATGAGAAGATGAAATACATTTCATAAAGCTGTATTCTTTACAGTCTTACCTTTGGATTTCTTGCAATGTTAACAACAAAGATGAAAAATCCCTATAATAATAATAATTGTTGTCATACTAAATGCTTGCAGTTTTGGCCATTAAGGTAGAATTCTTACCTGTGTACTTGCAAAAAAAACAAAAAGCCAAGCAAAGATGGTTGTCTTTGAATTTACAGAGAAGAGGCCTATGATCCAAGTAACCCCAAGAAGAGGTATCAAGGTAACTGCCCCGCCAATAGTACTCCTAAAATAATTTGCATGTATAATACTTATTTTATTCCTTTATTTTTGTACTTGAAAATCGAACGGCTTTTTTCTGATTCCTTTTTGTCCTGAAAATTTCTTTTGTGATAATGAAAGAGAGCCCTCACTGATGCGCCCAGGAAAAATATATTAGCCTATTTTATTTTATTTATTTATTTATTTATTGCTAGAATGTGTTTAATCATAAAGCTTACCAGAAGACACAGAATCATCGGGCCGATAAAAGCCCAAGTTGCTCCTTTTTTATTAGGATCAAGCCAGCAACTAAAAGGGTAAAGTATTCATTTAGATCTAAATCTAGATATAATTGAAACATAGACAAAAAATTTTGCAACATGATCAGTCATGATCAGTTCAAACTTTTTACATAGCATATATAGGACATCAATATAATATATCAAAAAATGTAATAAAAATTTGGATTGACTTTGGAGCCATTTTTTGGAAAAATCATGGGCTAGCTATAGCCTTGGGTATTTTTCAAGTTTTTGACATTTTCTTAAAATGGCGGTAACTTAAAAAATTGAAGTTGGAATCACCTCAAACTTTCTACACAGCATAAGTACATCAATATGTATCAAAAAATGTAATAAAAATTGGGGGTGATTTTGAAGCCATTTTTTGGACAAAACCATGGGCTATAGCCTTGGGTATTTTTCAGAATTTTGATGTTTTCTTAAAATGGCGGTAACTTTAAAAATTGAAGTCGGAATCACCTCAAACTTTCTACACAGCATAAGTACATCAATATGTATCAGAAAATGTAATAAAAATTGGGGGTGATTTCGGAGCCATTTTTTGGACAAAACCATGGGCTATAGCCTTGGGTATTTTTCAGAATTTTGACGTTTTCTTAAAATGGTCGTAACTTTAAAAAATGAAGTTGGAATCACCTCAAACTTTTTACACAGCATAAGGACATCAATATGTATCAAAAAATGTAATAAAAATTGGGGGTGATTTTGGAGCCATTTTTTGGACAAAACCATGGGCTATAGCCTTGGGTATTTTTCAGAATTTTGACGTTTTCTTAAAATGGCGGTAACTTTAAAAATTGAAGTCGGAATCACCTCAAACTTTCTACACAGCATAAGTACATCAATATGTATCAAAAAATGTAATAAAAATTGGGGGTGATTTTGGAGCCATTTTTTGAAAAAACCATGGGCTATAGCCTTGGGTACTTTTCAGATTTTGGTACTTTTCTTAAAATGGCCGTAACTTGAAAAATTGAAGTCGAAATCAGTTCAAACTTTCTACACAGCATAAGTACATCAATATGTATCAAAAAATGTAATAAAAATTGGGGGTGATTTTGGAGCCATTTTTTGGAAAAACCATGGGCTATAGCCTTGGGTACTTTTCAGATTTTGGTACTTTTCTTAAAATGGCCGTAACTTGAAAAATTGAAGTCGAAATCAGTTCAAACTTTCTACACAGCATAAGTACATCAATATGTATCAGAAAATGTAATAAAAATGGGGGGTGATTTCGGAGCCATTTTTTGGACAAAACCATGGGCTATATAGCTTTGGGTATTTTTCAAAAATGGGTACATTTTAAAAAATGGACATAACTTGAAAACCGATTGTCAGAAAGAACTCAAACTTTCTAAAAAGCATAGGTACATCAATATAAATTTTAAAATGTAATAAAATTTTTTGGGTGATTTGGAGTCATTTTTTGGAAAAAACCATGGACTAAAGTTATTGTGCAATTGGCTTAATACTGTAATCATTATTCCTTACAATCTTCCTTGCACTCCATAAGAGTCGTGAATTACACTTACAGACACAATTACTGGAATTAATGGTAAACCTGCATATTAAGAATTTAAATATAATATATTTTACAGCAATCAATTCTTAATTCTTACCCCATCCAATTAGAAGAAATATGTACCACCTTTTGGAAATAGCCGAAAACACAACCACTAACAGAAGGAACAGCATAATTCCTTCACATAACATCCATGAAAAACTAGCAATGAAGAAATAGTGAAGAAAAACTGCTACTACAGCACACCCAGCCTATGAATTTTAATTTGACAATACTTGAAGCACAGGTGTCACAAATACCTTGGACTGTGTCACATTAAAAAATTTGTCATCTATGAAGAACAAATAAATGAGATAGGCTATCAGTAGTGCAATGCTTAAATTAAAATGAATAAAGAATTGCACACTCTTGATTAGCTCTTTGCTGTAAAAGAAAAAACAAACAAATGAGTGAGTGTGCATGTATATAAGCTCCTTTCCTCACCGGAGTGTTAGCAATGCAATTATTCCCAGAAACAAGCAAACACTAGATATAGTAATACCAATGTATGAAAATATCTCAAGAGCTAAATTCTCTTCCGGAGGGATCTTGAAAAAAACAAAATTGATAAAGACAATGACAAAATTGTGTACTTCAGTGACAGAATCTTGTGAGTCCACTAGTACAACAAATGGTGTAGTGTGAGAGCTACTGCAGACCACATTGTACTGAAAAGGATTGGTACTGATCCTTGTGATGCTAACTGTACTTATTCCTTCACTGGACCAATTACTGTAAAAATGATCATTATCATTATCATTATTAATGATAGACTTATCCTCACCCCAAAGTGTGGTTCCAGAATACACATTTAGGCTCTACATCTTTAATTAACTACATGTATAATATGAGAATTTATAAAGTTTTACTTTGAATAAAAGATATGCGTGCATAAATGTTTATAATTATTTTAATGATTTTCTAATGCACATAAGATAAGACAAATCATGTCATGTCTGCAATGTAGTAAATATTACCCAATGCTTACTGCTTTTGTGGTGAAGTTCAATATTATTCCAGTTTGAACTTGCTGTTGGCTTGTAAAAACCTGAGCAGTCACAACATTGGAACCAGCCTCCTCTGAACTAAAAACGAGCAATATATATCATGAAACAGCAAGAAGGATTAGCATTTATGACTCACAGTCCTGCAGAGGATAACAAGAACCCTCCAATATTCTTTATAAAAGAATTAACAACAACAACTTTTGACTCTAAAAGCACACCATGAACTTAGACAATTTAAAGCATGCTTTTACCATCAGTGAACAAATCTGATTTTGGTAATTCTAGCACTGCAGAACCACTTTGACTGATATCATCTGACAGTGGCAGAGGAACAGTGTATTCTTCACTATTCACTGTTAAAAAACTAAACTGCATATCTAAAGTATGTAAAGACCACAATATTAATTTTATATCATAATTGTGGATTATTTGTTTTTACCAATATTTGTTTTGTTCAACAATTGTGTTTGCAGTGAGTCCTCCCCTAATAAGTACTGGCCACTAAACTCACCGTACTGCTCAATATTATCTATTAGCAGTCTAGCATCGCCTTCACCCTATTAAAAAATCAATGTGGAATGAGGGAAAATGGTGCTTTAATTTCTCACATTTCCACTGCTTAAAAAACTCCAAGTACCACTATAATTGCTGTTTAAAAGATTATCAATGATGTCAAGGAGGTCCTGTTTAATAAAATTAAATGATACACAAAAGATGTTTATTGCCTTATTACCTCTTGAATTGATTCAAATGAGGTTTCATTGTCTTCTTTGAATAGTATCCTAAAAGTCAAGTAAAGGATATCATTCATGAGTGCAATGTCAAGTGGAAAATTCTGTGTATCATTAGAATGGCTAGAAATAGTTTTAGAATGCTGGACTGCTTCATCAATAAGTTGATTCCGGTCTTCAATACTTAGCACGAGTGTACCATTAAAAATTCCTTGTAGCTATGATAAGGGAAACAATATCATCATGGTATTAAGTGTTGGTATACTTGGTTGCGACTCTTTTCAAGGGCTTTTGACCTACATGTGTTTATGACTGCATTATTCCACTCTTTGTCACCAGCACAGTATCTTGAGAATGAACCTGTAAAAGCATTATTTTCCATCAAAAGTTAAAAATTTTATTACCAATTCTGTCTATAAAGGTGCCACAACCAACGTGAGCAGTTTCATTAATCAAAGTCTGTGGCCAAAGTATATTTTGAAATCTCTCGGATTCACAATTGTATATTGGTTCAGCTACAGTACAAAATGCACAATTTAGAAGCATAGACATTGATAGACTTATTTTACCCGTTAGAGGTGATCTGCAATTTATCTCTTCTATATCTGAGCAGCAGTCACCCCGATAGTGACAGTTTTCATCACAGAAGCAGTAATCATCACAATTTGTATGACAGTCGGGTAGATTATCAGTACAGCAGCCTGAGAACCCATAAGGCTTACAAGAATTAATGCAATAGCCTGTAAAAGGATAGAATATTATGACTCAATCTATAAGAGTTGAGCTCACATCCAATAGTTTGAATATCACTGCAGCAGTTATCTCTCACATAGCAATCCACATCACAGGAGCAACAAGGGCCAGAAGGACTGCTCACGGTGCAGTTTTCTTCACAGCAGCCATTGGTCAAGCCCTCTGCAGTGCAAGTGAAAATATCTGGATATTTGTCACAAAATTCTAAAATTAAAGAAGCCACAGATAGCATACACAAATATAGAGGCATTTTTACTAGGAAGGCTCTGTCCACTAGGAGGGTCGCAGCCTATTTTTTGAATATCAAGACAACAATCTTTATATTGGAAGCATTGCTCATCACAGCAACAAGCTGGACCAGAGTCGCTGGCATCATGACAGCATGAGCCACCTGAGCAGCACTGGGCTTCTCCTGTAGATTGAACACTAGCCAAGTCTCTGCAGTAATCTACATATTAGAATTCTGTGAAAGGAAAACTTATATCTGTTAGCATCTACTTTGGCAGCTTGATGTCACTAGTAAAGAGACAAAGCAAAGAAGAAACACTTTGAAATCCATTTTGTCTAGAAAACAGCTCCACCTTGATTTTTGGGTGGTCTGACACTAAATGGATAAACAATGGCTCTAATGATGAATATGGTTAAAGACATTAATCACTATGGTGAAAATTACATGTCATTTCTCCAATATGCAGTAAACAATTTCACCTATATAAAGGCAGCAGGATTGTTTTTGATCCAGATCTATAGAGTCTAAAAACATGAATTACTTTACATTCACTTTTGTAGTCATTTGTATCTACATTGCAGGAACTTCTGCCCAGAGTAAGAGACTTCTATGATAATACCTACATTTTAATTTGTATTTGCAGCTGCTTGTCAGCCTTCACAAGGATGCAGTGTTGGAATACTAATCACCAGCACAGTGTCAACCAGAAATATCACATGTCCTCTTTCAGGTGGTTTTGCAGCTGCTGCAGTTAGTGCGACATTGGGAGCGCTACCTGCAAGCTGCAATGTCCTTCCATCCAACCTATTTCAAGTTTACTGCAGAGAAGAAGGAGTACTGACAGCAATAGGAGGAACAGGAACAGGAACAGGAACAGCAGCTGAGACACCAAACTATGCTATACTTGAAACTTTGATAATGTGCAATTCATGCACCCAAGGCACGTTGAATATACCAAGGAGAATTAGGACCAGCACAAGGACAACAAGAAGGCGTACACAGACTGGAACAGGAACTGGAACTGGAGCTAGTACCATTTGTCCACTCAGTCTTCCTGCAACAAGGAGCATTGTGGTTTTTGGTATACCTTATCTTGCCACAATTGCAAACAGAGGCCTCATTGGATACTACTGTTCTAATACTCAGCTTATTGCTGGTGGAACACGTAATGCTTTTTGTGGTAAGCTACATGTATATGCGAATGGTTACCTGCTATTTTTTTATTTTTCAGTTTGTCCTTCTGGCTGTACTGCTAATTAAGGGTCTTCAATATTAATAAATTTTGCTCTAATACTTCTAATTTATATACTATAAACATACATCTATATATATATACTTGTCAAATATTGAATCTCTTGTTGTAATTTCTCTTTCTTTGTTACAAAATTTTGCTTATAATGAAAGGCAAATTACCAAAAATAACATATGCACTGAAAAAAAAAACATATTATTAAACAAATTTTATGCAGAAAAAATCTTGATATAATAACAACTTTTTAACTACTGAAATTAATAATAATAGTGAAAAGAAAACAACACAAGAGGATCAGTAACAGTAAACTCTATAGTTTAGTATTATTCATTATGATCAAGCTTTAAAGCCTTTATTATATCATCCGTAAAATGGATAAGGTGGACGATAACATCTAAATGAGCCTCCATGCTGCACAAAATGAAAATCACAAAAATTATAGTACATGCTAATGTTAGCCTTCAACTTACATAAAGGTTCCCATAAAGATACCCATAGGCTCTCCTGTGTGCCCTTTGTATGCAATAGCCCCACTGACGAATGAGATCAGGGCTACTGCACTTGGAAGAGTTCCTTCTAAATAGAGGGATGACTTGGGGGCACCTCCTGTGGAGAGGAGGGTGTGGAAGAGGATATAAGGAATGGTAGCAAGCCCTACAGACTGTCACATCACAATGAGAGCGACCTGGAACAGTATTGGGAGTATCAGATGGACTAAAGAGAGAAGTCAAGATATCAGAGTCTGCATTAGATGACTTACAGTGTGCATATGTGATTTGGATTTCCAGTGCAAAACACTTCAGTGCAGACTGGTGGTCTATTAGGAGGGTCCCCTCTATGACATACACTCTCACACTCTGACTTGGTTGAAAAGTTATTATCATTACCACGACAGCCACCATATATGAACCTCTCACACTGGCGGCTCTGTGAATTATAATGCCAACGTGAGATTGATGCACGGCATGGTCCAGGCTCACGAGGAAGCAGACATAAAGCTGGAGTTTCTTCTATTAAGAAACATGAAAGGCAGGTACAAGAGACACGTATTAAGGCTTACTGTTGCATTCAGACTGACATTCACTCAAAGTCCTGAAGTTGTTCTCATTACCAGCACAGCCTCCATAGACGAAAGGCTCACATCTTTTTGTTGCTGAATTATAAAAATATCTTCTAAAAGCGGCTCTGCATGGACCAGTGACTCTTGGAAGGAGGCAAATGGCAGAAGATGAAGCTACATATGATATAAAAGTAAAATTACAATTCTTAAGTTTCTCACTTCCTCCTTGACCTCTGCACTTTCTACGACAGTCTTGAACGCTGCGGAAGTTATTTTCATTCCCTTGACAGCCTCCATAGATGAAACTGTCACACCTTCCAGTCAATGAGTTGTAATAGTAGCGTCTTATGAAAGCTCTACAAGGTCCTCTCTTGGGACGCAGATCGCAAATATTAGATGCTGTGCATAAATAAATGAATAAAACAACAACTATAATTAAAGTAAAATTACTCACAGGTTGGACATTTATCTAGTGGAACGCATCTTTTGTTTGCTTCATCAATAACATGACCAGGAGGACAGCCACAGCCTGGCCTGCACTCTAATGTGCATATCCTGTTAGGATTAGAACATGTGGCTGGACAAGACCGGCATCTCTGAAAGACTTGGCCAGCAATCGGACAAGAATGACCAACTGCAGTACCTATAACAAATAATGATAATATTATGATTGCAAAATAAACATCGTATCAGAACATGTATATGCATTAGAGAAAATTATAAAAATGGAGAATTCTCTCCTAGTCATTTTTGTCAAAGTTCAGCCTGAGACAGGGGCTTTGACCCAATTTTTGAGCAACTTTAAAAATTTTTTAAATAATAATAATAATAACTAAAGTACCTCCTCCTTCAATGGAGCAATCTTCCCTGTCAACACATATATTATTCTTCTCGTCAATTAGTTTCCCATCAGGGCAGCCACACCCTGGTATGCACACAGCTGCACATGCAATTTCAGGATTAGAACAAGTTGCTGGACAGGAACGACACTCTTGAAAAACCTGACCGTCCACTGGACAAGATCCTACAAATATAGGAGAATCAATTAAAGTATGTGGGTGTATAAGGCGTAGCTAAATAATGATAATATTATTAGTATCATAATATAAATATGTAGGCACAGCCCAATTAAATAATGCACAGTAAGACACTACATAGACCACTCCTCCCATTAGGAATATAATATTAAACAATCAATGATAATAACTCAATTTGTACAGTATGTGGATTTGATAGTTAGCTTAATGCTCCTAAACTTTCTTATAATAAGTGTATGTACTTTACTTACCATGACTATTGCATCTGTTTGTTACTTCTCTTCGGCCAACAAAGAACTTGGCATTGCATCCACCACAACTATCGAAGATGCATCTTGCATTAGGAAATAAAGGACACCTTGCTGTTCGACATGGATCACTAAAACAGTTTACAAGAGGTACGTTTGGCGGACATGAATGAGGAAGAGGAGGGGGAGCCTGAGTTGATGGACCAGCTAAAAAAATTAACATTTTACTTTAATACTTATATTTACAAACTCATAACTTACTGCATTTATCAGTCACATCTCTGTTACCAATAAAGAACTTGGTATGACAGTCACCACAATTATCAAAGATACAGCGAGCATTTGGAAAGTTGGGGCAGGTAGCTTCATTACAAGCTGTAGCAGCATTGGCACAGAAGACAAGAGGAACATCAGGAGGACATGATGGAGGAGAAGGAGTAGTAGGAGGAGAAGGAGTAGCAGGAGGAGAGGGAGGAGAAACAGCAGGTGCAGTTCTTCCTATTATAATAACATAAGTAAATACTCATTTAAATAAAACTCATACCACATCTTTTGGTGACATCTCTATTTCCAACAAAAAATTTAGCATCACAGCCACCACAATTATCAAAGATACAACGAGCATTTGGAAAGTTAGGGCAAGTTGCTTCCTCACAAGCTGTAGGGGCATTAGCACATCTATGAATAGGAACATTAGGAGGACATGTAGCAGAGGGTGGTCTGTCACCAACTGAAAGATAATCATGCAACATAAAAAGTAATGGATGTTAGTGCACTCACCTCTACCACATCTATCAGTTACTTCTCTTTGCCCAACAAAGAATTTTGTGTTGCAGCCACCACAATTATCAAAAACACAGCGAGCATTACGGAAGTTCGGACAGATTTCTTCTTCACAAGCTGTAGCAGCATTGACACAGGATACAAGAGGAACATCAGGAGGGCATGATGGCCCTGCTGTTGGTGGTGCTATAAAAATAAAAGTATAATGATCACAGTAGTAATTCATTTCTTACGTATGCACAAGTTAACAAGATTTAGTGATTCACATCATTACTTATACTTACATGTCGTTGGGGCTGGAGTGCTTGGACATAAAGGACAGCAACGCCCAAGAGGAGTAATGGTAGGTACATCACAGATTGGTAATACACACGATATAACACGACAATCTACAAGAAAGACAAATTATTTATAAAGAATTGTGCTATAACTATGTAATTCAGATCGAAATTGATTCCTTAGGTTTATCACTACAATTAATATAAGTAAATGCCCCAAGCAACTTATTATATGTTTTTATTAATGTAATAGGATTGGTGTAATTCATGTATAAAAACACTGTGAGATTATGTCATCTATAATTACCTTCAAGACATCTTGGGCAGCACTCGCCCTCTTTAGGAGGAATGGGATTAGGACAAGGTACATCACATCTGACTCCAGCACATCCTCCTCCTAACAATAGAACAAGTAAAACAATCATTAATTACTTTAGTTAAAAATGAATTTTAGCAGCACTGTATTATTAGACATAATAAACAAAGAAGTCAGTAATTGTTTTGCCTATCACAATCAATTACGTGTTAATTTTATTTATACTTCGCATATACACAACTGGCAAAAGACATGCACTTCCTTATTAGGACGCTGTGTTTTGTCGAATACATTTCCTTTAAAGTCAATAGGGCAGTGCAACATTAGCCATTAGTCATATCACAATTGTCCTGCTCAATAGATAATTGTTGCCATCAGACAATATAATCATTTGTACTAGACAAAGCACAAGACCTTTGGTCAGATGCATGCTTATTATTTTATTATTATTATTATTATTATTATTATTATACAGAAAAAAAATAAAAGAAAGCCTACACTAATTATTATTATTATTATTATTATTATTATGGTTTTTAGCTAACCAGGAGGTACTACAGGAGGAGGAGGGAGGGTTGGAGGGCCAGTAGGTAGTGTAGGAGAAGGAGGAGATGGTGTCCTATCAGGACAAACAGGACAGCAGAATTCAGGTTTGTTGATTGGATTAGGACATAATGGAATGTCACATAAAATGAGACCACAATGAACTGAATGTGTGCATAGAAATGAATAAAAAAGAATTGTAATAGATCTATACTATATAATCTGCATTACAGAGTAACTTACAAGGAAATGATCCAAGAATAAATTGAAAGCAAAGAGCAAAGACTAGTGCAAAAAGCATGATAGCCTCCTCTATTCTTCTCAGCTGCCACACATGTGCCTGTAAATAGGTATATCAGTATATTTATAGATAAGGACACACTGTTTCTGTAGCCTAAACAAGGCCTAATGTCAAAGTGGCTCATTGTCACAATAATGGCTGGTACTAAAGCTTTTGTCTAGCAAGCAATGACATCATGCTGAAGGACTAGGTCCCAATTATTCAATGATGGTGTCCTGGATGCATGAAGAAGAATCGACCAATGTCCTGGTGATGTGAAGTTTGCTAGTATACAAAATACATTGTGCTTTTTGGTTCTAAGTAGACATGTAACTCCATCAACAATGATATCATTTTCATTCCTGGCTTGATGAAGAATGTGAACATCATCTGGGCAGGTGATACTTAAAGAAAGCTGGCCCGTAGTTCCTTTCACTTTCTCCGGTAAAAGGTAATCTCCCGATGGATGAAAGTCCATTTTGTAGACATTAAAAAAGTCTGTGTGAATCCAGGGATAAGTAAGGTTTATTTTAGGAGCTTTTACCAAAACAAAAAACTCAATTATAGGATCATAGTCAGTGATTGAGTCACCAAACAATTGAACTATCCAGTTGCCTTTTTCTGGAAATACAGCTTCAATGACATATTCATCACTGCTGTCCTTATTAGGATAAATAAGAGCTTGAGAACTGAGCTTATTCATTGGGCATCTCTCTTGAAAAACAACCATGTTAAAACTTGGTTTCCTTCTGTATATCAAATGTGTTACAAACTTTTCCTCTATCACGTATTGATATGGGATATCTTTGGCTGGTATTCTTGCATCAGAGCTATAGAAAGCAGGATAAAGCTTAGGATATAGGTAGTGGATGGGTAGTATTGCTGCTTCCTTGATTAATAGTTCAAACAGGAACACTTGCTTCATGTTACTCAATTCATCCTCTACTTTACTAGCACTAAGACCAATAGCCCATGTACCTGTTTCAGGAAGGATTGCCTCAAGATTATATACTCCATCTTTTTCACTAGGAAACAGTGAAGCACAATACTTGCTTGGTATTTGAAAACCTGGTGAGTTGGGAGGAGTGAGTGAAATATCAAAACATAGCTTATGCTGCAATGAAGTTGATACTTGTGTCTTGAAGATAGAGTGCCTGTACTGCAAAGGGTTGGTATCAGTGATACTAAGACCCAATAGGGTTGATACTGGTTTGTTTATTGAGGGAAATATAGTATTAGGGAAGCAGGATTCAACATCTAAAAAGAGACTGAAAAGGTTGCTGTAGACAGTTGATTCAAGTGAGTTGAGTCCTCTATAAAACACACAGACCTTCCACTTGCCAGGTTCAGGGAAAACAACCATTAGTTTGTAAGTGTATCTTATTTCTCTACCTTCATCCTCCAGTCTTCTCTCCTCCTTTTCTATGCACGTGAACTGATGAAATGTAGGAGAGAGTGACGAGGTACCAATCAAAACAGAATAAAACTCCATTTCATCTTCGACAGAGAATGTCAAATTAAATATATCATTCCCTAAAGCACTGAGTGTCCCAGAGTGATGTATGGATAAACCTGGAGATTGTATCCAAGGATAAGTCCCAGTGCTTGCCTTGCCAATAACATTAACAGTGTATAGCATTACTGGTTCACTTAAGCACTCTTCAAATTCTTCACCTTTAAGCATGAGACATATTGTCCAGAGTCCTTGTAATGGGAAAACTACATCAAGTACATTCAATGAAGGATCTTTATTATCTTGACTCAATGAAGTATAGAAATGATAGCATTGCTCTGTAGATGGAGCTTGCTCAGCAGTGAAAGCTCCAGGTGATATAAAATGAGAGAGGGAAACGTTAGAATTAAGCTTGAATTGAAGGGTCATTTGTCCAGTAGTACATTCAGCTATGTATGATTTCCCATTATCCTGATGACCAGTCCAGCAAAGCAATTGAAAATTAATGCTAAAAGCTACTTTGTGCAATATTTGGGGAAATCCAATGCTATCAGGCGGGTCTGCTTCACAACTTATCAAGTAAGATGTCAGAAATGTTAAAGTTCTAGTGTTAGAGGAAGACAGATCTTCAACAAAAATTTGGCAAGTAAAATTACCAGGTTTTGGCAAAGCAATATAGACATCCTTACAATCACCATCCTCTTTATTATTTATAAAAATATTTGCACTGTATTGCTCATTGTCAGGATTAATGTCATGAGAGGAAGATGAACAATCCCATGGTTTTAAAGTTACTATCACAGCAAAGTGCTTAGGTGTTTTGAGACTGAGGACTGCAATAGGGATTTCATGTCTAGTGATATGGAGGACTTCACATGCAGGCATGTGAACACCTAAAATGAGCAATAAAGGCACTAACTCAAACTGTATACATGTACATACCCAATTGAAGTGAGTCTGGCGTCATTACTATCAATGATCTGTAATCTTGTAAAGCCAGCCTAGCTTCAAGTAGCTGCCACTTGTCAGAATCAGGCCAGTGACTAAGAATAAGCTTCTCTGGTGAAATAGCAAAGTAGAGACAGTTGTACATTTTGGTAAAACTGCTGCTGTCAATGACCCCAGCACCATAAGTGCAATCAAGGAGATACCAAACTGACCCTAACTGTACCTATTATAAGGAATAATTATGCATTATCCATCAAAAAACTTTCATTAATGAACTAACTGCATTCCATGCATGACTATTGTTATTTCCAGGGCTGAAGAAATCACTCTGTCCTTTCTTTGTTATAGCTCTCTTAAAGTGTCCATTGATTATTGTCACCTTGAGCCCAGCCTGACCTGCTAGCAATTCATAAAGATTAGCATATCCACTGCATACTGAGGAACGTCTCTTAAAAACATGCCTTGGGTTTACGTCTGGATACAACCCTGTTGATATCATGCTGTTCCACTCATTTACATTATACTCTATGTTATTTGCTATCCAGTAATATATGGCATATGCTTTTAATAAGTCTGTCGATTGGCCCTTCTCTATACCTCTGAGATAGGGGGTAGAGTCTTTTGTTAGCAAGTCTGATATTTCTTCTAGTGTTGGGTTAGCTTTTGTGATGGCATCCACATAATCGTGGACTCTATTCAAGACCCCACTCTCTTTCCATCTCCTCATCAAACTCTCGGTGTGCCTTCTCTTTTCAAGCCCCTTCTTTAAAGGTTGGAGCGAGTCAAACACTATTTGACAGTTTTTCTGGTGATTTGATAAAACAGGATCTGGCAAGAAATGAGTTGGAAAAGAGCTCTCCTGTGGATCAGTCTCATACGGTAAGATTATCGAACAAGCAGTTTCCTCTTTAGCATTATTACTTGCTGTATGGTCTCCCTCTACCAACGAAGCCCTGACATTTGTCCTTGGTCTTCTAGATAGTCCACAACCCATTGTGCAGTATAGTAGTACAGCAAGCCAGCCACGCCTAAGGTTTAGTAGCCTAGGCGTGGCTGTTCTTTGCAATATCATGAGTAACATCATCTAATCTAATGATATTTTTAAAAATCATTGATATATTAACTTTTGTACTACATAGACTATAGTTACAATACAGGAGGTCATATACTGTACATGTATTGAATTAAAACCATTGTTATATAGTCTCATTGCTGTGGACAGCGATTAACATTATCTTCTACTTTAATCACTTTCAAAGTAGGCACAGCTGGAGTTGATGGAGCCGGAGATTTTAAGACACTGCTCTCATTTTCCTTAGCTGGTGATAAAGGAGAGGGAGATACAGAACCACCTTTAGCTTTCTCAACATTAGTCTCATTAAGATAAGAGGATAACAACAGTGCAGAATGAAGACTAGCATTGATAGATGGAGGAGCAACAGGAGGAGGTGGAGGGGTAGAATTCTCTTTCTCTATCTCTTCCAGCAAGTTAATTGGCTCTTGCTTCTCTTCCTTGACTATTACTGCAGTCGTGTTTGGTGTTGTTTTCCTTGAAGCATTTTGATCGGTTTTGGGAGTATCTGTTTCTTGAACTGAGTGCCCTTTACGAAGGTTGACTTTCAGTTGATTCTTAAGGGTCGAGATTTCATTTTCAGCCATTTTGAGTTGAACATTCACTACAAAATGCATAATATTAGGTCTACTAATAACAGATACATAAATGGTAAAAACTAAGAATACATGCACATCTTAGTAAATCAGCATTTGAGAGATGATCCTCAAAATTATTTATTTTCTAATTCTTACGTTCATTTTCTTTCTCTTTCACTTCCTGCAATCTGAGTCTCATCTTTGTCGCATCGTTGAGCAGCTTTGCTTTCTCCTGCTCTGTCTTGTGAAGTTTAGCTTCAACATTCGTTAATTTAGTTCCTTCCCAAGCTAACTGAGTAGCCTGGGTCTCTAACTCCTTGCGAACAGAACACAGTGATTTACTAGAGATAAGGAGAGAGAGAGAAGAGGAAGATATGAAAATGCTGTCAGTAGTTTGGTCCTTCTCTTACTCTTTCTGTTCAATTTGGTTTTGAAGGTAATCTACAAATCTTTTTCCTTTAGAATCCAAGTCGCCAGCAACACGGACAGTCTAAAGTAAGAGAATAAAAATTATAATCATGCATTCTTGTTATTAATCATTTCATGCCTTCTAACCTAAATCTATGCTCATAATAATAAAGTAGGTGTTAACATTATAGTAATAACTGTTAACCACAGTTCCAACCACAACAGTAGCAACACTGCAACCCATGAGACCTTTTACAAACAACTGAGTATAAAAAGAAGGCAGTACTTCCAAAGTCATTTAGCTTTGCGAGGTTTTTGTTACAAAAAATTTTTGAATGGGTTAGCTATCTTAGCTTAGCCCTGCATTAAACCACTCAATTATAAACAGTTAAACATTTGAAAGGAGGACAGAGATGAGTGCATCCAGAAATAAGTTACTCAATTACCCTTTAAAGAAGTTAATAGATATGAAAAAGGGCAGGTATAAAAAGGTATTTGGAATCATTTCAGATAATTCTCCAGGGGCTCACTTTGCTTTCTTGTATTTCTTTATCAAGTTTACGAATCTTATCATTGAGTCTTGTTATTTCGCTGTTCCTTTGTCTTAGGTTCGTCTCAAGTCGTTCAACGTGAGCCAAGTCGGCAGCAAAACTTGAATGACGGCACAACAAAACTGACATTTCAGCCTGAGAATGGAAAGGATATACTGTAAAAGACATGATAAATACAACCTACATTAATTATAGCACTTTATTTTTCTGCCACACATACAATTATCTCACTACATAAGCATTGTGTAATACATTGGTGGCTTTTAAATGACAATTTTAACAACATAAATTAATCGTCAATCATCAAAATACGTGCAATGTTCCAGCAAAAATATAAAGTGGTATGTGTACTGGGTGATAAATCTTTGCGTACTTTAAGTTTCTTGAAGTGAGTTTTGAGCATTTGGTGTGTCCTCTCAAGTGTGTCGTATTTCACTTGCAAGCTTATGAGCTTTCGCTCGGTCTCTAGCCGCCTCTCTTCCACCTGGAAATAAAAAGTACATGATTTGTGAAAATGAGAGGAAGAGAGAGAGAGAGAGAGAGAGAGAGAGAGAGAGAGAGGAGGAGGAGGAGGGCAAGGTTTCCCCATAAAATTTTTGCATACTGCTCACTGCTGTTTTTGTAATTGAATTTTTAAAAGTTTCACATAAATCAGGTCAAAACCATGTACTATAGTATAGGGTACTGGTATTTTGCTGCAGGAAAATTGTTATGAGAGAATTCTCCAATTTTATAACTTTATTTGATGCATATACATGTACTTATGTTGTATAAAAAGTTTGAGCTGATTCCGATCAAAATTAAATTTTTTACGAGTTACTCCAAAATCGAGTAAAAGTCCCTGTACTATAGTACAGGATCCGAGGCCAAATTTTAGCAAAAATGACAAGGAGAGAATTCTCCATTTTTATAACTTTATTTGATGCATATACATGTACTTATGTTGTGTAGAAAGTTTGAGCTGATTCCGATCAAAATTAGATTTTTTACGAATTTTTAAAGTTGCTCCAAAATTGGATAAAAGTCCCTGTACTATAGTACAGGGTCCGAGGCCAAGTTTTGGCAAAAATGACAAGGAGAAAATTCTCCATTTTTATAACTTTATTTGATGCATATACATGTACTTATGTTGTGCAAAAAGTTTGAGCTGATTCCAGTCAAAATTGGAATTTTTACGAATTTTTAAAGTTGCTCCAAAATCGAGTAAAAGTCCCTGTACTATAGTACAGGGTCCGAGGCCAAATTTTGGCAAAAATGACAAGGAGAAAATTCTCCATTTTTATAACTTTATTTGATGCATATACATGTACTTATGTTGTGCAAAAAGTTTGAGCTGATTCCGGTCAAAATTGGAATTTTTACGAATTTTTAAAGTTGCTCCAAAATCGAGTAAAAGTCCCTGTACTATATAGTACAGGGTCCAAAGCCAAATTTCACCAAAAATGACAAGAAGAGAATTCTTCATTTTTATGACTTATTCTGATACATATACATGTTTATATGTTGTGTAGAAAGTTTGAGCTGATTATGATCAAAATTGGATTTTTTTTACATATTTTAAAGTTGGTCAAAAAGCCATATTATGTGTCTCAATTGTAGTGGTTGTTAGCTCATGAAGCTAGCTCACTTAGCACTCATTGTGGGGGAAACAAAACAGAGAGAGAAGAAGAGAGATAATGGAAGAGAAGAGAGTAAGCATGTGTTGCTTACTTCACCAAACAATGAATTCCCTTTTCCCTGCCAATCCTCCTCAAGTTGCTGTAACTTGTTCCTCTCTAGTTGATCATTCAACGCTTTGTTCTGATCTTGTATCTCCTGGAGAAAACAGAAGAATGGAGCTCATTCTACTAACATGACAAAAATAATAATTACTTGAAGATTATGATAGAGCTCATTGCTCAATTTAACACGATCTGTAAGAGTCTCTTCCAATTCTTTGATTTTTGTTTCGTGCGAGTGTACGTCATCTTTTAGCTGAGAAATGGTGTGCGTTTGAGCTGACAGCTCACCCTCCAGTTCTTGCTTCTGACAATCCAAAAAACTGCATCTTCTTTGTAAATCAATTAACTGAAAAGAGAGAGAGAGAGAAAAGAGAAAGAGAGAGAGAGAGAGAGAGAGAGAGAGAGAGAGAGAGAGAGGGAATGAAGAGAAGTGACAAAGTTAGCATCAATCAGGGAACATTAAAAAATATTTTTGGAGGCAAATTTATTGTTAGAAATTGGTTCATTTTTTCATCAATTCTGGCTAGAAAAAGAATCAGATGATACTAACGTAATAAAAATTGAGGTTAATTTTAGAATCAATTCTATTCTTTCAAAAAAAAAACCCAAAAATCCCTCTTTTATCTCCCTCTTACTTCATCTTTCATAGAGTCTGAACAAGATGGCGTTTCATCGTGCAACTTTCTAATCACTTCCTCTTGCAGGGACACCTTCTCCTTCAGCGACTTCTCCCTTTCAATCCCCCTCTCTACCTCAGTCTTGGTCTCATCAAGCTCCCACTTCAGCTGCTGTATCCTGTACGAGTGGTTCTGCTCTATCATGTTTAATCTTCTCTTGTAATCAGTTTCGGCTTGAGATTTCACATGATCCAATTCATCAATGAATCCCTGGTGTGCTGCCTCCTGCACAGAGAGTTTATTGGACAGAGTGTGATTGTCTTGTTTTAGCTCCTAAAATTATGATAATAATACAATTATACACACATAATGCAGATTCAACTACAAATACATGTACACGTCAGTTAAGGATTCAAATTTTTGTGATTTTATTAAAATTTTGTAGATCCACAATTAAAAATTTTTGGTTGCTATAAAATATACACTTGCATACTTAATTTAAATAATAACTTGATTCACTTCCCCAATGTCGTCAAATTTTTAATTTAAAAAAAAATCATAATTATTTTGCAATAATTATTCCTATTATACTTGAGGTACATTTAATTAGCGTAAATTACAGTAGTGCAATAGCTAGTACTACCCCAAACATTGATTGTCAATCATGGCAGGGGATAATGTATAACCTCTATCTGTTTCTGGTAGAAGAGTGCCTCCTTCTCACATCTTTCCTGGAGCTCTTGATTTGACTTCAACAGAGCTAGTCCAGCCTCAGCAGCTGTAGCCAGCTCTTCCTCTAGCGTCTGTATTTTATCTTCGGTGGAAAAGCTTTCATTCTTCCTCATAAAAGAACAGTTATTGGTCTCCATATTCAACTTTTTTTGCAAAGAGGAGGGACTTTGTGTTTGGCGCCTTAGTAAACTGCGCATGCGTGAAAACTTTTGGCGCCATAAAATTAAAATTTTGATACTTTTAAATTGTAATATTATAGCTTTGGCAGTGATAAAATCTCATAAAATCATATGTACAATAAATACAACTACAGGATGCATGTTTTAAGATTATGACCAGTTCTTTCCGATGCTAATCCTTACAGCCAGTGGTACCTAAAATGAATTAGATAATAGTAAAAAAATAATTAATCAAATTAAAAAAATTGCAAAAATATTGTGCTTACTATTAATGGCTGACAGTATCCTTTAAGGAGATTAGGTGACTCTGCAACTTGTTTTAATAAATCAGTAACGACAGGGACATCCTCATTGGGTACTTCATACAACAATTCATCATGAATCTGAAGCAAAAGTCTATATATAAGATACAATAAAAGGGAGTCACCATTTAAAAAGCTGCATACAGTACAGCTGGAAATATTGGCGGGAGTTAAATAAATAGGTCCATTTGTCATGAAATTATAATTAATGAATGATTTATATTGGTAGATGCTTGCGACAACCAATATAACCACGTCAGCTATTATGGTATACAAGAATGTCATAGCAACGAAATGTCACAAGATTATAAATGGAATGTCTTTATAAAACATAGCGACTTAGTGAAGCTTGATAAACACTGCAGGAGCTAGCAAAATGCCATTCCAGAGACAGAGAAATGTTGAAGTGGATTACTTGTGACATACAATAACATCAACAAGTGATATTTGTGAGGAGTGAGGTAATATTTATCAACCGGAGCCCATAATGTACAATAAAGAATGATAATTGAGCTACTCGTTAGGATTCATTGTCCAAACAATACGAAAATAACAGCCAACAAGGAGACTGATAGTGGTCAACAAGATGGCTGTGATAATAATGAGGGATACAAATATTAAGAGAATGGATGGAATAGTGAGAGACGTAAACAGGAAATGTGTTAGACAATAAAACTGCTGACTTTGATAAGACTACATTTATAAAGGCATCGAGGCACAACATAAAGTCATGAGGACATAAATAAACAATCACTGCTAAAACATTAAACCAGAAACAAAGCAAGCTGAAAATTAAGTATGCTTAGCTTTTAAATTAACTTCCTATATTTGAAAAAAAATTATAAATATTGAGAATTTCCTCCTTGACCATTTTTGGTGAAATTTGACCATGATCATGTACTATAGTACAGGGGCTTTTACTCAATTTTGGAGCAACTTTAAAAATTCGTAAAAAATCCAATTTTGATCAGAATCAGCTCAAACTTTCTACACAACATAAGTACATGTATATGTATCAGAATAAGTAATAAAAATGGAGAATTTTCTCCTTGTCATTTTTGGTGAAATTTGGCTTAGGACCCTGTACTATAGTACAGGGACTTTTACCCAATTTTGGAGTAACTTTAAAAATTCGTAAAAAATCCAATTTTGATCGGAATCAGCTCAAACTTTCTACACAACATAAGTACATGTATATGCATCAGATAACATTATAAAAATAGAGAATTCTCTCCTTGTCATTTTTGGTGAAATTTGGCTTTGGACCGTTAATTAGTACAGGGACTTTTACACAATTTTGGAGCAACTCATAAAAATCCAATTTTGATTGGAATCAGAGTCTGCTCTTTATGCTGTACATACATTTAAGCACAAACCATATCTCATACATTTAATAGCAACCTCAGACAGCTACAGACGAATTAAAATTGCAACCTCATCAAATGAAATTCATGCTATTTGTGGCATGCACAGAGAAACGTACATTTTCAACAAATTAAAAGAATTAAAATTGCTTGCAATGTAAACATGTGATCGTTGAATCAAATTACGGACATTAATTGTAGTCATCAACTGGCTTCAATGTATAAACAGAATGAAAATAATTCCGTCATTATTAAATACACAAAATAGTCCAAAATTCAAATCCAGCAATGCTCTGTATGTGTAGCCATAAGAGACAATAGAATGTGAATTCTTGGTTACTAATGTTAAACAGGATATTATGACAGCGTATTATACAAATGAGGAGGAAGCAAAGGAGACATAACAGGCCAGCAAATGACACTGACAGTCAAAATAATGACAAATAAATAAGTTTACTTGCTACAGGGTTGCAGCAAGATCTATTGGCTATACAACAAAATGGCCGATAATCAAATTTACCAGCTTTCATGTGTAAGACTTTAATGATTGATGTGCAATAGAAGTTCCAGCAATAATTGTCATTGAGACATAATAATTCATTTATATGTGCATGGAATGATGATTGATTGACTTTCTGTGAAGTCAAAATGCCAACTAAAACAACAAGCAGACATGATGTCAATAAAACATGTTTATTGCTATGATACGCAGGACAGGATATGCAGGGAATATTATACAAATGAAAGTATTGATTTAAAAGACACAATAAAAGTACCATCAAACACCAAAGAAGACAAAACAGCATATTATGATAAAAAATAAAATTGCATTACTATGATGAAGAACACCATTTAAATAGAAGTAGTGGTATTTATTTTAATAGGCTCTAGTAGAATTTTATTATGATAAAAGTTGTTGCTAATTTCTGTTGCTTTCATTTATGTTAACGCCATTTCCATAGCTTGTCAACAGTTTTAAATTGTTTCATGAAAATAGCAATAAATAGTAATGAAGCAATTAAGTGGTTTAACTGTCAGCTTTAGCAAGCATGTAAAATAAAAATATAGCAACAAAATGATTTTAACTTTGCAAGTTAAAATGCAATAATCATGCTATAAAGATATTCAATTTCGTTGCATTTTAGAGTGTAACTGAATCAATTAAAACTTGAAGGAGCATTAAGAATGTCTCAAATAGATCAATGACATTGATTGTCTTATATTTATTACATTTTACTAATACACATTGATGTCCTTATGCTTTGTAAAAGTTTGAGCTGATTCCAACAAAAAGTTTGAGTTATTGCCTATCCCATACCATGGGGTTATACTATGCTTTTTTGAACATATCTCTAAGTTACATGCACATACATGTATGCTAAAAGTTTTGAATTGATTCTAGTTGAGCAAGTGAAAATTGATACGCCTCATAGTGAAAATTGACTCAAATGACTCGAATGATAATAATCCATGTACATGTGTAATCTGACCAACGTATGGTCTAGCCTGCCCTACACATTGTGTTATCATATAATACAGTGACACAACAAACAATGAAATAATGATATTGAACCTCCAACACGCTATCATGCTATATCACTGGCCGGAAAAGATCTGACTATATTTGGTAAGAGTGAGTCAGTTTATCTGATAATATTGAGACTATGTTTACTAGCTGACAATTCTTGACAATGCAATTAGCCTCTGCTCGAATTGCATTAGAGACAAAGGGTCAAACTGCCTACACAATGTGAAAACAAGCCAATCAACACGAGAGAATTGCTATTTGAATTCAATAAACGTAGGATTAGCTGTCACTAAAACAACACAAATCATTTTATTGTGACTAGGAGTGGCAGTAAAGAGGCTACATATGCATCACTACATCAAAGCAAAACACTGACATAATATCATTAGCATATCCAACAAACTAAAGCATAAATATGATTGTACATTAAAATCCAACTAACTAAAACATAAATCAGCACATGATACACATCAAGATAGAATGCATTCAATTAAGCTTGACTATCTCCAGTAGCAACAACAGCATTTTAAAATAAGGATCATTGAGAATGGAATTTTAACATGTTTATATACAAATTCCTCATATATAGAATACACCTACAGTCAGTAGAGGGAAGACCTCACATATACTATTTATGCGTGACATAGTCAGACAAGCCAAATTTAGCATCAAGGCGCCAGAATACATACATGTATGGTGCATGTACGTGTACATGGCATCCTAACAATTGATTTTTTACTGAGCTAGACAGAGAGAGGGACAGTATTAATTTGTACTAGACAGTGCAAGTATTTCAAATAATTCCACTTTAATATACATGTCAGACTAGTTATTAGCGAAGCATTTTAATTAGCAGACCAACACCCATACACACACACACAATCAGACATGTACCAATTCAATCAAGGAATTCAGAAAAAGCTACACGTAATCCAGCAATTTCTCACAAATTTGGAGCAAAAATGGCACAACGTGTAAACAAATTCAAGCCAAAAGGGTAAGAATAAAATTCCTTATTATAAAATTCTATATTTCTCCGTGAGACTAAGGGATACTGACCTAATGTCTGCAATGGCTTTCAGTAATTGTGCAAGCACTAGAAACCCTTCAATGCCTATAGATCACTAATCACCACTGTCTAAAACATTATTAAAGTGAGACAGATTAACATCACCCCCTACCATTACATAAGGATGAACACAATGCATATATGTCTGAAAATGGCCAGAAACTGATGATGCAACTGGATTTATCATTGGCACTAATTACAATAGTAAAGAGATTACAATACTAACTGTTAGTGATGTAACACCTATGTCTACATATGGCTCCATACCCATATATACGCTATCATGAATGGTTTTAAGCTGAAATGATAGCAGCAACAATTGGATGGCAACAGTCAAAATTAGAAGGTACTAATAACGCTACCATAGATGGGATGACGGCGAGACTAATACATTTGAATACATGTAGGTATATTAGTTGGTGAGTGTCTCAATATAATAATTTCAGACTGATAGATAAACTACAGCAAAGGCCACCATATCCTCTTCAGACAGTAAGGACAAACTTTATCAAAATTAAGGCAGACAAATTAAATAAATTAAAAGACATTAAAGGAATCGGTAGTATTTATACACATGTACATGTAGAAATAATATTCTCATAGATATACTTTTATACTTATTATTTATTTATATACATAATTATTTCATAGTTCCAAGATGATGTGAATGGGGAACAAACCAAATATGGCGCAAGTAGCACGCCTATTCGTAGAATGCAGACATTTTAAATTGAGTGTGGCTAAATGACAGCCGACAGAACTAACAGACGGCTTAATGAGCGTCCCAGACTGATTATCATAAAAAACACACACACATACACCACCACACTAGAATCATAATAGTATCACTGTCACACACACACAGACACACACCACATTACATGTATTAGTGTATAATAGTATACATAAGTACATATACATGTATATGTACATATATAGCCAGAATCTTCCGCTCTTACTTTGCTGATGGGCTAGTCTTAGAAAGTGCGTTGTTAATTCTTATCATTGAAATTTTACAAACATCAGCAGCAGAACCTACACAAACAAGAAATAAACATACGTTTATACTTAAGGATACATAATTTTGGACTTTATTCTCATATGTCCTCTCCACTCCTCTCTCTCTCTCTCTCTCTCCTCTCTCCCTCTCTCCCCTCCCTCTCTCTCTCTCTCTCTCTCTCTCTCTCTCTCTCTCTCTCTCTCTCCCTCTCTCTCTCACTCCCTCTCCTCTCTCGAGTACCTTGTATCACAAAGTTTATTGCTTGTCTTTCTAATGATGTCTTAGTCTGATAGTCAGTGGAACATATTAAAGGGAACCATCTCTTTCGGCCACAAAGACTAACACAAAACTCTATTAAAATATAAACACGATTAGTATAAAATAACATATGGACAAATCTTCAGTCACCATTCGCATAACTACATGTACAGAAGAGTAGCAGTGGCGAAAACATGACCTGCCATTGTAGGCAAACAAACCGCTCAATATCAGCTATAGTATTATAAAATTCACCCACTCAAACAAAAATAACTTTTGAACAAAAATAGCGAAATGGGGTTTTTGATAAAATAATAATATGGGTCATCATAGTGAGTCATTTATACAAAAGGGTCGATTCATCTCCTCTAAACTTTAGTAATACAAGTAGGGGGGGTGAAGGTCAAAAGCTAATTTCTACACACTAATGATGAAAACTGGCCTGATCCCCCATTATATGTAATCCAATCACTCACTGTTACTTCTGCAGTAGTCCAGTGTTTTCTGCATAAAGTTACTAATCCCAGGATAGGTGCCTACACGAGTATACAAAACAGAATATGACATTTAATATGTACAAGCAAGGCAAATGGGAGCAGCATCATTGTGTCATGAAACATGATACGGTTGCTGGTTAATCATTATACGAACAGGAAGTGTGAATGATCAGGTTGTGCACTTACTGACCCACAATAGCCAGCCTCACTATTTTTAAGAGCATTTAAATCATGACACTGTCAAGTATATTTCAATTTGTTTTAATAGTAGAATTAAAATTTTTGGAGGAGCATTTATAAACTTAACTACTGGCATATGCATTACCAAAGAGAAGAGTCATTTACAATAATGCAACAGTGATCATAATAAACGAGATTAGAGAAGAAAGCCAGGGGAGTACATGTATTTTTAATAGTAAGAGCAGTAAGCATATGTACATGGATAAGATCATAGTGCATGCACGATGACTCATTGGGTTTAAGGTTTCTACCCCAAAGTGGTCAGAACCTTTTAAGTTCCTCATCATCAACCAATAAGATGCTAACCATAGACCTGAGGTAACTCTTTAATAAGAATGACTTAAGCTTAGACACATGCATTCCATGCTTAAGAGGTTAGGTCAATGCCCTCAAGCTATAAATAAAATACAATAAGTATTTTATACATGAATGAATGTATGTGTGCATATGAATGCAGTAATTACGAAGGAATGATTTCACTAGCTCTTGTGCAGAAGAGGGCGTAGATTGTATTAGCTCGGCCAGTTTCTCTTTCCCTACTCCATAAATGATGGCATACACAACTCTCTTCACACGCTCTCTTTCCTTCCCAGTCACCCTATCAGGACTCAGTCTTAGCCTATTAGAAAGGAACATTATATAGCACAACATAACCTCTTTATTAAGGACACCATTGGGCCCACACTACCTGTCCTTAATACCATGTACAGTGTAGCCTCTTTATTAAGGACACCATTGGGCCCACACTACCTGTCCTTAATACATGTACAGTGTAGCCTCTTTATTAAGAACACCATTGGGCCCACACTACCTGTCCTTAATACATGTACAGTGTAGCCTCTTTATTAAGGACACCATTGGGCCCACACTACCTGTCCTTAATACATGTACAGTGTAGCCTCTTTATTAAGGACACCATTGGGCCCACACTACCTGTCCTTAATACATGTACAGTGTAGCCTCTTTATTAAGGACACCATTGGGCCCACACTACCTGTCCTTAATACATGTACAGTGTAGCCTCTTTATTAAGGACACCATTGGGCCCACACTACCTGTCCTTAATACATGTACAGTGTAGCCTCTTTATTAAGGACACCATTGGGCCCACACTACCTGTCCTTAATACATGTACAGTGTAGCCTCTTTATTAAGGACACCATTGGGCCCACACTACCTGTCCTTAATACATGTACAGTGTAGCCTCTTTATTAAGGACACCATTGGGCCCACACTACCTGTCCTTAATACATGTACAGTGTAGCCTCTTTATTAAGGACACCATTGGGCCTACACTACCCTCATTTTAGATGCATACTTTTCTTTTAAGGTTGTACTAATTGGGACATTACAAATGGCCTCATTATAAAGGTGACCTTATTTCAATAGAAAGGTTACACTATACATTAATTAGTGGTAGGAAACTCATACCATTGAGACGCGAGGGAAACAAACACATCAATTGAAGCATCAGCAGCAATGATGGATGCTAGGGATTCATCTTTAGAGAAATGAGCTAAGAGTCGCAACTCAATACTCTTGAAATCTGAACGAGAGAATATATCAAAGGAACAGGGTATCAAAGGATTGAGAAAATATCAAAGAATTATCATAATTAACCAAGTAACCATTCAAATGTAGCCTCAAGGCAATGCACAGGTAAGATCACTAATAATACAATTACACACTACGAATGGAGCATTAATTGGGCAAACTGACCAAGTGTAATGAAACTGGTACCAGGCCTACTGATGATTGTACTTCTAATGTCAAGAGATACTACTCTTGGTCTTAATACTATACAGAGAAACATTGAGGAGGAAAGGAGAGAGAGAGAGAGAGTAGGAGTGAACAATAGATTAAAGCTAATGTTGGTTTACTTCCAGGTAATTCATAAGAATACGAGTGTTTAGGAAATGCCTGCATATTCTAAGAAAGGAGACAGAATAGTAAACAGTTCCTCATTTAATGTAATTCCACACATCATTCCACACACACACACACACTATGTGTAAAAGAGGAGGAAATCCCTTTACTATATGAATTAATTCTTCTATACTAAGAGTATACAGTTCCTTCCTTCCTCTTGTTTCCCCTTTTAATATTATTGATCATTCCCTTTTCCTTTTTCACTAATTTCTCCCTCCCACACATTAGACAATAATTATCTAAAATCTCCCATTTCTTGTGAAGGTCTAGACCATATGTAATGTGTACATACACGAGTCTCTGATTAGTATTTAGCTTAAAATTCACACAATTTATGGCAAAACTTTTTCCTTTGTATAATAAAAAACTTGCCATAGGATTATAGGTAGTGAATTTCTTGAGCAAATTGACCCAAATGACAATATTTTTGGCTAATGGCAATTTGATTGGAGCCCTTGCATGATAATTTGGCTCATCAAAAAGAACACTTCTTTGATCTCTCCCTCTCATTTTACTTCTGACTCACTCGTGCCGTTGCTAAGGATGAAGCCTCACTCGATGCCCCAATCATAAAACAATTTGCGAATGTTTTGAAAATTAGCGCTCATAAACAGATTTAAGAAATAATATGAGGCGAGGAATTTTGTGGAACATAAATATTTATATTACACCTGACAGATACAGCTCAAACTTACAGGACTACTGCATGCCAACCGCCCAGTGACTGTTCTGTCTGAGAGCCTAAAAAAAGAATTTCAAATATTTACATTGTATATGTATCGCAGAGGCAAACCAAACAGCATGTATGTACATGTACATACGATACACGTACATGTACATGTATTTAACTATTCTAGGTATACCTGTGTTATAAGAGAAATTGGTGGGTCGTTAGACGGGAAATTTCAAATATTTATACATTCGGCAGGCAAACCAAAAAGCATAATATTATAATGTACATGTACATGTATATATATATATATTTTTAGTAGTGGGTCGTTAGACAGGCAATATGCAAGGTTTGGGTGTGTGTGTCTGGTTGACTATAGATAGACTTGTGTACCACTTGGGGTTTAATGATCCAGCAGGACTTGTATGCGACAATAAGCTCTCAACAAAACCTTTAACCTTTAAACACTATACAGTACAAGACACAACGATAAAATAGAAGAGAGAGAGAGAGAGAGTGTGTGTACAAGAAGGGTATATAGCTCAGGGTTTCCGACAAAATTTTGGTATAGTGTTCCAGCTTCTTGCCAGCTGCTAAAGTCCCTGTACTATAGTACAGGTTCAGGGCCAAATTTTGACAAAAATGACAAAGAGAGAATTCCTCATTTTTATAACTTTATCTGATGCATATACATGTACTTATGTTGTGTAGAAAGTTTGAGTTGATTCCGATCAAAATTGGATTTTTTATGAATTTTAAAAGTTGCTCCAAAACTAGGCCAAAGTCCCTGTACTATAGTACACGGTCTCGGGTCAAATTTCATCAAAAATGGTTAGAAGATAATCCTCAATTTTTATAATATTTTCTGATGCGTATACATGTACTGATATTGTATTTCTAGTTTGAGCTCATTCCGATCAAAACTTGATTTTTAAAGAATTTTTAAAGTTACTGGATTGCTTGTCAGCTCATGACGTGTGCTGTTTAGCTCACTTAGCACTCTATGTGGGAAACCCTGAGACAATAATAAGTAAAAGAAAATGAAAAGGTCAAATAAGGCAAGTACATTGTAAATTAGAGCTAAAAAATGACAGAAATTTATGTACCTGCCTGTACTGTAGTACTATACCAGGTAAAGGGTGGAACTCTGAAAGTTGTACCAACTATAAAATAATATCACCAAATAATAATTGAGTGTCTAGTCAACCAGTGTAGTAAACTATTGCTTAATTCACTGTCTAAGCCACTACACCCACTACCATAAACTGAAGCACTGATTAGTAATTGAAAGATCCCCAGACACTTATATACTTATCAGAGTCGGGAGACATTATCAATAATATTAAAATACTCATCAACGAATGATTAAGAGTCTAGAGACATCATTATAATATTTAAATACTCATCGGGCGGATGATTAAAGTCTACAGACGCTATTAATAATATTTATACTCCTCGATTGATGATTAAAGTGTTAATATGATAGATATCTCACCACAGCCTCTGAAGTTGAGGTGACTTTATTGACTGATGTCACCTGAAGTGACTGAGTACACATCCTATCCAGACACAGCTCAGTAAATAACACCTTATTTAAAACAAAGCACCCTCACATTAATAGAACGTTCATAATTATTATAAATATTTATTTTAAAGTAGGCGGTGGTATGTGTGCATGTATACATGTACTTCTCTTAGCTGAGAAGTGCTGGTTAGTGAAAAGGTGTGCCCAACTGTGTCTCGTGCCTCGACCTCTAATGACTTAATGACAGACTGTGAACATAAACAAGTATAAACATTGAAAGGTGAGGGAGGGAGGGAGGAGAGAGAGAGAGAGAGAAAGAAAGAAAGAGGGAGACAGAGAAAGAAGAGAAATTAAGAGACAAAGTTTTTTTTGTTGTACATGTGTATATATACCTTTAAATCATCCAAATAAGTAACCAGCTGAGAAGTATTAACTAACACACCATAATATTCCATACCTACAGTGTAAATAATCAAATTCAGTACTTAACAGAATACATAATAAGTATTGGATTTGTTGGGATGGTGTTGTTGTATTCTGGAAATGGATGAAATAACGTGATATATCTTCCTTAATTTTAATCAGTTTTAAACTTAATTTAAAAGCAACTCATCTGACTGTAAAATAAATTAAAAAGCACAATGACCTTTTAAAGCTAAATATTGACCTGTTTCCAGTCATTAAAAACATACCAATATCATTATTAGTGACACAAAACCCTGTTAGGCTCCACTTAAATGCAGTGAACTGCCTACGCTGTAGCTCATTTGTGGGCCAAGCCTCGTGACCAAATGAATTAGGAGAACTGATTGAGGTGGGTCAGAATGGACAATCTTGTTAGAGATGTTGTGTGATATATTTTCAGAAGTTGGTATATGTCATTAAGAACATGAGGCACAGTGAAACCTTCAACTCAAAAAGTAACTGCTATAAGAAGTGGTTGGCATTTCAATGGCTTGAGAGGCTAACAGGGACTTCTGTGCATGAGCTGTGACATGTACATATACAAGAAACAAGATCCTTATAATAATAATAATAATAATAATAATAATAAATAAATAAATAAATAAAGAAATTAGAATATACATGTACATTTAATAAAAGAGAGGGAAAAGACAATACAGATCACCTGCTAGTATTGGGGCAACTTTCATCTCAATGTCAAAGACACAAGTTAGTGAATATTCCTAAGTAAACATACAGTACCATAGTCTTATTCACATAAACACGTACTACTACTAGACGTACAAACACACACTGGAATTAATGAAGCATGGCTACTAGCCTAATTCAATCAATGATTATGTCTACATGTCTTCATGGTACAATGATTCGGCTAGCTTGCATACATGTATTTGTATAACACAAAATGTGCATGTTTGTATGTACTTTTAACTTGCTTCCAAGGCAATCAGCAAGTATAGAAAGGTCTTGGACATTGATATTTGATTTTGCCTAGGAAGAAGAAATTAAAATATATAGACAATACAGGCTCCCAGCCTGTCTAAGGACAATAGCTAATTATTCCACCCACTTAACATAATAATGTATTGTTTCGTGTTGGCTGTTTACTCCACTTTGTTTGTCTTTCTACAAACACTCCCTTCCTCTATTCTGACCTCTCTTCCTCTCTCTTCTTTTATCATAATATATTACAAAATCTCTTTCGTTCTTTCCTAAATTTCTTTCCTAAATTTCTTTCCTAATTTTATGTCTCCTTACTCTGTTAGCAACTACGTCAGTTCCATAACGTTGCATTAGTGTTTCTAGTGAATTAGGAGGATCTTCAGGCGATAACAAGTACCCAGCAATCTTGACGTCCATTAAGAGGCAAGAATCAGCTTTATCTACAAACACATACAAAACACATACATACAGACACACATGCCTGTACTGTATTGTACTAGAATACAGTATTTATTAGTATAAAAATAGTACATAATCCTATTGATTCCATAAATGGATTCAAAGTTCTGGAATGCTTGAGATATTTGCACTAGGAAGTAATTACGAGTTGCATTAAAAACAAAGACTGACACAGAGGATAGCTGTTGTGACTGATAAGGCAATGAAAACCAGATAATTGGCCATATTGGAACTTGAAGCTTGTAGCAGCTGTTTATTAAAGAGGTGTCAGGATGATGAATTTGCACCACCTGTATCTTAGGGCTCATTTTAATAATAAAAATACATTGTAATTATACTACAATATAAGATCTAACTGTATATACATTTATATAACAGACACTTGAAAAGCTTGTCTGTTATACAGAGGTGTCCTTTATGTAGAGGTTATTTTATACAAAAAGGTACAGTACGTTAAATGGTGGCGTTTGCTATAGAGAGTGTCTATTAAGAGAGGCTATACTAGCTTTATATGTTCCACAAAAGAACTTATACACACGTACAGTACATCCCATCAATATCCCTCCACTTAAACACGCATCATTTAAATCATATTCCAGGCTATGACAATTAAACATGCATTGGCCTGCAATTAGACAAATGCCAAGAATGCACGCACACGTGTACATGAACGTGAACATACCTATCAGTGATAATTGATATTTATTGTATAAGTAGTTGAGAATGCGATGAGCATCGTAGCAATATATCTTTTTAATAGTTTCCAGTCTATCCTTGATTGCACTGGAGAACAAACAGACTCACCCCCTTGATCTATCCTCCTCCACTCCTCCTCCCTCTGTCTCTCTCTCTACAACTGACAATACAAACAAGTATCAGCTTACCTTTCACTAATGGTCATGGAACTTGTTACTCCTCCTATCAACAGTCCCTTAAGTGTGCATGCGTGTACAAACAATAGCGTATCAGATATTCATAGTAAAATAGAGACAGGTGCACAATGCATGATATTACATTACATCTTGTCTGGAGAGAGATAGTGTGTGTGTGCATTGTTTGCCAAATATATAAAACATTACAGGAGGCGGTTTAATGTTATAAAAACAAACTAACGTAAACTCTTATCGATTTTCTCTCTCTCACTCTCTCCCTCCCTCTCTCTCTCTCCTCCTCGAAATGCCCTAGTACCTCTATAATGTACTTTAAGCAGGTAAAACCAGCCTTGTTTACTTACTTTAGTAACTGGTTTAACCAGTTACAAAAGCAAGTAAACAAGGCTATAGACTAACTATATACAGGTATAATGGGGTCCTGGACTTTGCACATGTGCTTTAATGATATCAACAATCAAAATCACTTCTATGCCTTCCCAATTAGAAATGAGGTGCAGGTACTGCTTTATTGAGCTATGATCTACTTTCAAAGAATAATTAGTGGCCAAAGGATTCCTCCACCACAAGTACTTTGGACTTAATCAAACACACAGACCACAGCCATGTTTGTGTGGAAGGAGTGCAAGTGTGTGTGTATCAGTCTTATTAATCTAATCAGAGGAAAGGGTACAAGCCAAAGGACATATGTATACATGTGCCATTAAAATGTCCACGCATGCACCATGTATATAATATATGCACATAGATGTAGCTTGTATACCACACAGCACCTGTTCCTCTCCCTCTTCTTACCTCAGGCACTGAAGTACGGTCTGTTGGACCACTAGTGCTTCCACAGGAGAGAAGCATTGTTATTTCATTATCTCTCAAGCCATCAGTAAGAGCTGACAGGTGTCGCTCAGCTGTCCCATCAAGCTTGGGAGTACAGACCTTAGCAGACAACAGACAGTTAATTTGATTAATATAAAGTAATTGATGTATATCTTGTATGTGAAATCCAAGCGGCATTGGAATGGGCAGCGACTCAATAGAAAACATATCAATAAGCTAGCGTATACTAACATTAAGACATGCAGTGTGCATTATGCACTAATACTAAAACCACTAATACCACATAACACAATCATCAAGATAGACAAAGTATGGGCCAGACACTTACATAAAGGTATATGTATGAACATGAATAGAAGTATACAGCATAAAGATTATAAATTGTAAACATGACTATTATACCATACAGTATAAAGACATTTAGACTATAGGTTTAAAAGTGAAAATAAAGTGGAATTCATAATAATACTCTACTGCCAATGTTTGAGCTTACACTTTATATACACATGGAATGGACAAAAGATATTGATCTATTACACCAGACTAGACTACATATAAACACACACACAAATAATGGTTCTCTGAATACACACACACATAAATAATGCATGTACATGTACATGTACATGCATGTACATATGTACCTTTTCTTGCTGCTGTGCTGGTGTGGATAGACATGTAGCTGGGATGGGTTGCTGGAATAATGCAACGGTCTGGTTTCTCACTGCAAATATAGACATTCTATGCATTATAGGTCATTCATAATTCTCATAAACATAAATAATATGAGAGAGAAAGAAAGAGAGGACACAGGGCAGTGCAGTGGTGTGTGAGAGACAGAGAGAGGGAGGGCGTAAAATGAGAGTGTCTAGCCAATACAAACAAAAGAGGAGGATGAATGAAAATAGGAAGTATTGCATGCTTCGAAAAAGTGGGAGAATGCATATTCTAAAGAGTTAAGAGAGAAGAGAGAGAGAGAGAAACTGAGAATGTCATCAAGTTACTTGCATCACAACACACAAACATCTAATGTATCATGTGCTTTACATACAAGGCAATCAAAGCACTACTGCACAAGCAGTGAGGATACTACACAAGCACAATGGTATGCAGTATACATGTATGCATGCTGGTTGGGCATGCAAAAGGACAGAGAGAACTCACCAGACGAATTAGTTAGCATGTTTATAGGGACAGTATCCCAGTTGGATGATGATGACATTGCTGGCACGTTAGCTGGATTAGTTAACGAACAAGAACTGAATCTCTTCTCTTCCTTCAATATGGAGAGAGGAAAGGAGACTACTGTGTTATTAATCAATTGAGTATTGATGGCTACCTGCTTTGGTTCAGAGTGATCTGAGTTGCCTGCATGTAAATAACAGGTAGAGGTTACTGATATCACTCTTACATTCAGCTCAGGCAATATTATAACATTATATTATATAAACTCTGTCATAATTATCTACACTCCCACACAGCAACTCTGGTATAAAAGGAGCTGCTCCTGGCCAGTTGAAAACAAAGCAGCTAAGTCAAACAGAGCTGAGACTAAACTAACCATTAAACCTCTCTCTCTCTCTCTCTCAATCTCTTAGTGAAGTTTCTCAAGTGCAACTATACTACCCATAAAATGTCTATCATCACAAAGCTCTCTCCACTTGCTCTCCTTCTACTAGGAGTCTGCATAATAATAACCAGTGGACTCCCGATGAAACGAAGCACAGCTCCAGTTTGCAATGGAGGCAAAGGAGCCCTCAACCAGTACATACTGAAGTCATTCCAGTCATTCTCTGCAGCAAGGAAGAGCAAAAACTGCACCAAGCTACTAGAGGACAACCCAGACCTTAATGAGTACTATTGTCAGTGCAATGCCATCACCGGGCTTGTAAATAAACTTGGTAAGTTGTCAACTCCAATAAAAATATGCTTCTAACAATTATTTTGATAGCAGTTATGATTATTTTCTTTTCCTTTATTACAGATACAACTATACCAGTTGAGGAAGAAGAGACACCAGCTACACCACCTGAGGAAGAAGAGACACCAGCTACACCACCTGAGGAAGAAGAGACACCAGCTACACCACCTGAGGAAGAAATAGGATCAAGTATACTACCTGGGGAAGGAGAGGAGTCCAATAGTACAACCCCAAGCAATAGCAATGCAGTCTCCAGCAGCAGCAGCACAACCTCAAGCAATAGCAGCCTAATCTCCAGCAACAGTACATTCAGTGATACAGCAGAGAAGGGTGAGTACAAGGAACTCAGAGGATGCTGGTCAACTTTCGAAACAAACGTTGAGGAAGGAAAAAAGAAGATCCTTGGAGGCGACTTCAGCATGTACAAGCTACCAAAGCAAGATCAGAAGGAACTCATCGTAAAACTCTTTGATAAAGACAGCAATGTCATATCAGAGAGGTCCTTGTCATCAGATGTAAAGGGTGGGTGGGTATCTTTACACATCAATAGCTACGCTGCTAGTTTACCATACGGTGAGATCAAAGAAAGAATACTGGTAACTGTAGCAGAAGAAGAAGGAGGCAACTATTTGACATGCGATGAGGTGCAGCAATACTTCATCATGACATGCTCGGCTAGTATTAGCCTTCCCACTCCATCTTCCATTCCCTCGTACTTCAACCTGGAACCAATGACGACGCTCTTGACAAAAAAGACCTCGTCCTCGCTCCTTGATCGACTGAGAGGAAAAAAGAGACGAGAAGTTGATGGAACAGACAAATGCGTCATGACGGAGAATAAGGTCCAGCTTGCTGATATCTCTCCTGTTGAAAAAGGTCACACTCTTGTAGCTGAAGATGGAGAGATGATTGACATTGGGCACTGTGTCTCTAAAGGCGATACTAAAGTTCCTTGCAGGCCAAAAGGTGTTATGAGTCATCATTATATAACACAAGACAGAAGCGGAAAGTATCTTATGCAGGAGGTTGCAAGGCTCATCGCAACAGAATGCTAAATCTCTCAATCATCAGAAAATGTATTTTACCAATAAACTGGCATCTTTAATCTCATTATTATTATTATTAATTATTATATTTTATAATACTGTATTTAATTTGTTTAAAATTAAGCTAATTATCACTATTAATTATTAATAATTATAATAAATAAAGATAATTTTTCAACAATAATGATTTCTACATCACCTTTTCTCAAAATGCTCAATACTCGTTGATAGACATGGCCGCGAGTGAAAACAGGAGCAAGGCGAGCAGGCTTGATAATCACTTTATTGGTGCAACTAGAAGGAACAGCAGCTTGTCTAGACATGGCCGCAGCTACTCTGTAGTAGACAGAAAAGGGAGGGAGCTCTAACAGCTGTAGAGATCAAAAATCGACAGATTACACTAAGATCAATAAATGTGTGTGTGTGTGTGTGTGTGTCTAGCCTGTGACTGTCTAGTAGTACCTAATAGAGAAGACACTGTAGTAGCTGTATCAGAGAGCACAGACACTGTCCGAGACACTGTCTGAACTGCAGAAACCAAAGGTATTGCAATTTGCATTACCACAGTACCTAGCTGGGCGGGGAAGCACCGCCCACCACACGTGTCACTGCACTATGTCATACTGCAAGAGAGATGGTAAGTCCATTTACAAGTGCTGGTTGTTTTATTATGGACAGAAAACTATTAGTATTTTAATGTATCTTGCTTAAATGCTTTCTAAATCCTTTATGAGCTCCACTATTTTTATAGCCACCGCCATTTTATAACAATACTTATATATCACTATTATACCATATTGACGTCTCTAGGCAAGGACAAGTCTCTGTTTTTGACAAGAGAGGATGCAAAGGATCCAGAGAACATAAAAACATTAGTCGAGGATGAGGAGACATATGGACTTATTGCCCCAGATGGATCAATAAACTGGGACTGTCCCTGCTTAGGTAATAATTCATAATAACTAGATGACATCATTATGCATGTATATGTACAATCGTACATATCTATCTACATGCATACATGTACTTCCCACGTTACCTGATACCTTGTTTTGTGCTTTGGACTTTCAATTTAAAAGTGCAACAGCAGCTGTTTCCCGAGAAACATGAATAAATGCTAAATGGATATTTCATCATCATTTACATGAAATAATAATGGTTAAAATCCCAGTCTGTTAAGGAAGGGAGTGTATTTGACCAAGTAGAAGCTTCCATTTGAACCATTACACAATTCTATGCCTTTGATCAATAGTTAATTTAAGCTTATACTACTTGTGCTTCTAAACAGGGTTTCCCACAAAGCATATTAAATGAGGTAAATAGCATGAGCTTCATGAGCTGAGAAGCAATACAATAGACAACATGTACTTGGCTTTTTGAGCAACTTTAAATATTTGTAACAAATCAAATTTTGGTCTGATCAGCTCAAACTTGCTATACAACATGAGAACATGTATATGCATCAGAAAATAGTATAAAAATGTAGAATTCTTTACTTTTCATTTTTGGCAAAATTTGGCCCGAGACCATGTACTATAGTACAGGGACTTTTACCCGATTTTGGAGCACTTTTAAAAATTCATAAAAAATCCAAATTTGATCGGAATCAGCTCAAACTTTCTACACAACATAAGAACATGTATATGTATCAGAAAATATTATAAAAATGGAAAATTCTCTCCTTTTTAATTTTGGAAAAATTTGGCCCGTGACCATGTGCTAGAGTACAGGGACTTTGGCAAGATTTTTGAGCAAATTTGACACTGACTATCAAAAATATTTTTGAAAATTTTACCATAGATATGATTACCTTGACAATTTTTTATGTAGGCGGTATGGCTAATGGCCCTTGTGGTAGTGAATTTAAAGAAGCTTTTGGCTGCTTCCATTACAGTAAAGAAGAAATGAAAGGTTCTGACTGTTTAGAGCAATTTAAAGTAATGCAAGTAAGTCAAAATAACAGACAACATAGATATTATTCATAAATGAAATGTACATGCATCATGGAATTACATAGATCACATAATTTTGCCTATGTGTGCCAGACTGTCAGTAAACTTTATCATTTTATAGGAATGCTTTCAAAAATATCCTGAGGTATACAGTAAATATGGTGAAGACGAGGAGGACGAGGAGGGTAATAGTGACAAGGAGAATAACGAGATACCCAAAGAAGCAAACAATAACAATGACAGCAACAACAACGATGATAATAATAATGTTAATGATGAAGATAAATGATAAACAGTGAAATGTACTAATATTTTTCATACTATATCAGCTTAGTATTAAAGTACGTAGACGTTTCAGTTTTTCACTTATCAAAATGACACCAATAGATTGTATGGCATATTGAAACTCTTCTTTATATCTGGATCTACACATTTCTAAAATTTGAGAACTAGCAGTCACCCAAATGAGAAGCAGTGGTATAGTGCTAGAGTTTATTAACGCAGTGTTAACCGTTGAATCAGTATCACTGGAAAGAGCTGATATCTGATTGTTGATCATCTTGCTAAGAAGTAGTGGCTGCAATGAAGTAATGATTACAGTTATTGTAGTTATACTTACCAGGCCAGAGTTAGTGCTACATTTTTGCGACCAATCGGATAAATTAAAGGAGCAGCCTCCACGCCAGTTCATCTGAAAAATATGTCATTAGTTGATTAATTATTTATTTAATAAAATCAAAGTCTAGTAGCAATCAAAAACGATAAGATATGACAATATAAAAAAAGGATATTTTTTTTCTCCTATAAGAACTTAGCCCATAGCTTTAATTCAGCCTATTGTTTGTTCCATGCTTAAACCTTATAAAGTCAGAGAAAATATCCCAACTATTTCTCTCACTATTCGATCCACATATAGCCTCTCATTGTATAGCAAGGTTTGCAAACATTGCATTCCTTATTCCAGCACTGAAATAATAAAAGCTAATTGCACACACACACAGACATACTCCACTGACTGCCAGAACAAAAGGATGCCCATTAAGTGGACATTTACTATGAGTGGCTTCTGTCTATAAGTATGTCTGAATGATCTGTATGTTTCTCTTCTACTCCTTTATGTGTCCTATTGACAAGACTACTGTCTGTGAGTGTTTTGGCGGACTGCTAGCAGCTGTCAGTCTAACCTGTTGTATAACTCTTGATAACTCATAGAGTATGGCACAACAATTAACAGACAACTCATCCATCAGCTTCAGTGAAGAAGGAAAGAGAGAGAGAGGGAAGGAGAGAAAGAGAGAGAGGGAGGGAGGGAGAGAAAGAGAGAGAGAAGAATGTGTCATAAATAAGTATAGCATACAAGGAGAGAGAAAGAAAAAAAGGAGGAGAAACAAAAGATCAATTGACAAGAGAAAGACAAAATAAAAATAAAAGAAAGGAAGTTTACTATTGAAAAATTACTTACTTTCCCATCACTTAATGAATCCGTGACAAAAGCATCCAACAAACATTCGCTGAGCTCACAGAGAGTTTGACCACTGCAAAATGCATGTGTACACACACACTCCATAACGTCAGGTATAATTGGATCGACATAAAGACACTTATACCACACACAGAGACAAGTAAGTCAGTGATGTCGTGTAGACAAACAAGAACTTTGCACATGCACAATACATACATAGCACATGCAGACATAGATATGTACACACACACATACATGCCGACACATATACATGTACATGCACAAATAGTACATATAAATGCAGACATAGGCACATGTGGTATTACTGGTATAAACAGACACACACAAAAATACACACACACAGATTGCAGACAATACATATGTACATGAACACACACATAGATACATGCAGACACATATAAATGCAGACAATACATATGTACATGAACAATAGATTCAACTCAGACACACACACATACATAAATACATGCAGTCACACACACATCTGTACATACATTCTAGAAGCAGGTGCTAAGACTAATTAGATTAGGGCTACCTGTTCAAATGTCAATAATTATGTCATTATAGTTACCTTAAACAGACTTATTATCAGTAATTACTTACATGGACCATACAATGAAATACACAGGTTATGCAATATTCACAAAAGAAACTCACTTGTTACGCTTTAGTAGAGATAGTTTGGGCTTAGATACCAGTGTATCCTGAAATACTTTTAGAATAACTTCGGTAATGATAACCTTGTATCTAGAGTGAAAAAATGAAGGTAGTGACATCACGCTAGATAAACATCATAATATCATTAGCAATAATAACACATGTATTATAAATAATAATAATAATAATGATGATGATGATGATGATGATGATGATGGTATGCAGGATGTGTATGTAATGGTATATGTCCAGATGATGATGATGATGGATTTAGGAGGTTAATATTATAATAACAAAGTGTATTAGTATCATATTCACTGGCTTTAAGCTCAGTAGACTCGGTTAAACTTTAATACATTGAGACAGACAGAGAGAGAGAGAGAGAGAGAGAGAGAGAGAGAGAGAGAGAGAGAGAGAGAGAGAGAGAGAGAGAGAGAGTGGGGGAGAGAGAGAGAGAGAGAGAGAGAGAGTGAGAGAGAGAGAGAGAGAGTGAGAGAGAGAGAGAGAGAGAGAGAGAGAGAGACATAATAAGAATTAAAAAGTGAGTATTGGGCTTTATGTAATAGTTCAAATGAAGAGGCATAGCATTAGTGAGATAATCTTTGGTTTAGAGCTATAATTAGTCAAAATTTAATAAATTATGAGACATTAATGGAAACACACTACTTGACAAGAAACCGTCCACACACAAATTTAGAAAAATGATAACTAAAGTATCATAATTGGAATATGAGAATAATTCAGTTTCTACCTTTGTCATAATGCTATGTGGACAAATACAATTAAACTTACTGATATCAATTATAACATTAGTTCAAAAGGCGTCATTCACAAATACCACACAGGTAATTGGTCTATCACAGCTACAATCAATGAAGCATTACTGAATGTCATAATCATTCACAAAAAATTGCACAACTATGATATAATGATAAACTAGCAAGGTTGATCAACCATTGATGAGATAGAAGCTACAAGGAATCGAAATCACAGTGTCCATGGTAACCAGCAGTTGCCACTTGTAACCATAGCGATGATAAAAAGGAGAAAGGATGATGTGGATTGTGTATTGCAGGAAGAGAGGAAGACAATATTTCTTAGAACAAGTGTACTACACAATGCCATACATTTGTGTGAGACATGGTTACTTGGGCGTGAAGTATCAGGAAGGAATGAAAGCTTATTCCGACTTTGTTGCTGGGCGATATTCCATAGTCCAGGCTGAGAGCTGTTGAATGTAATGATGCAACAATAGATGCATGGCCCTCAATACAGATGAACCAAAGTCAAATTAAATACCTATTTACTATACATGTGCATGCAAAGCAATTATGTGTCACAGGTGCTTATGTGAGCAAACACTAGCCTAAGTGTTTGTGTGCTAAGCAGTAATTACTTACAGAATGTTTTCTGGAACAAAGCATAGACTAAACTTTGGTTGCTCGTGATTCTCGATGCCATTGATCAAATAAGAATTAGGATTGAGCGGCTTCGCTTAAAAGTGAGTCTAGCCTCATGAATATGAAGGAGGTTGTTGTTGATGTTAAAGTCTGGAACTAACATTAGCCTTATTAAACTCTACAAGAAGGATTCATTAGCTTGAGGACAGGTCAGAGACACACAGACTATAGCAAAGCTAGCCTATAGCTGGAGTATAACCAGAAGGGTCAATACAACATACAGTCAAACCTGCTATTGTGGACACTCTAAAATAAGGACACTTCTATAATCAGGACAGGTAGTATCAGTTCCAATACAATATAAATGTGTATTAATGAACCTCTGAAATAAGGACACCTCTATAATAAGGACAGTTTTATTTGGTCCCAAGGTGTCCGGAATAGACAGGTTTGACCGTATACAGGCTATAAAACTGGATAAATGACTATACTCTAATTGTACTATAAACTATTAATGCAATACTCATTGATTTTATGATGAAAACACTATGTCTCATCGAGACAGCTAGCACACGCCTCAGACTAATCAGGACAACCTTTAAATTATATATTGGAACTGGTGTCACAGACCAGACAGACTACACACAAGTCTTCTCTTCATAGAAACAACTATTACACAATGTCGTACAAATTGGACGGTCCCATGACTATCTTGTGAGCATCATTTGACTGTGTCAGAGGTCACTGGTGCTGTAGAAATTAAATACTGAGGATATACCTAATTGGCTGATCCAGAGGCGATTCTACACTTTAATGTATTACAAACTAGCACAAAGTATGACAATATTTTAATTAGATATAGATATGTGCTCAGTACACATCAGACTTGGGGTCAATTAGAATTAGACCATGTTAAAGTAATATCAGTTAAAAATACTATTTTGGCATGTTTTTGCTTTTTAAAAATTCATAAAAAATTCAATTTTAATTGGAATCAACTCAAACTTGCTACACAACATAAGTACATGTATATGTATCAGAAAATGTAATAAAAATGGAGAATTCTCTTCTTGTCAATTTTGCCAAAATTTGGCCCGTGACCATGTACTACTATAGTACAGGGACTTTTACCTGATTTTGGAGCAACTTTAAAAAATTCATAAAAAATCTAATTTTAATCGGAATCAACTCAAACTTGCTACACAACATAAGTACATGTATATGTATCAGAAAATGTAATAAAAATGAAGAATTCTCTTCTTGTCAATTTTGCCAAAATTTAGCCCGTGACCATGTACTATAGTACAGGGACTTTTACCCAATTTTGGAGCAACTTTTAAAAATTTGTAAAAAATCCAATCTTACTCAGAATTAACTCAAACTTGCTACACAACATAAGTACATGTATACAAATCAAAAAATGTCATAAAAATAGAAAATTCTCTCTTTGACATTTTCGACAAAATTTGGCCCAAGACAATGCATTTTTGAGCAACTTTAATTCATAAAAATCCAATAAATGGAAATGCTATGCCATTATGACAAAACTGTGCTAAAACTTGCTTTTTGAAGTCACGGTTATGTCTATCAGTAAATTAATACAAATAATGTGTATATGAACCTGAAGTTGAATAAAAATTAAATTTAATAAACGATTAAACAACATTTCAGTAATATTGAAACTTTAAGAAGATAAACATAATCGGTTTAAGCAAACAGATGCACTGTCTCCTACTGATCTCAATGATAGGAATGTGACCATAAACCACTGCAGACTTATCAGAGCCGACCACTAACAAGTGATACAGATACCACCAAAGAATGATGACATCTTGAACTCTAATGAGGACTTTGATCAGAAAGACAATAATAGTCTGACCATAACCCACTACTGAAGCAGTTGTACATGGTAATATACACTGTAGCTGTACAGATCATTTGTGACCATAATTGACAAAAGGTACCTTATGGCGGGTAGTGAAATTTGTCTTTATGCCCAAAAAAATCCAACTTCCTGAGCTCCATTTATCATAAAATTACTCCAGAGGATGCAAAAAGTTACTATGTAACTTTTAGAAACAATGGTTGTCCAACAAAGCACCCACAGGTTGATATTTTTCATTATAATGATGAATTTAAAAATCCACCATAAGGTACTTTTTGTCAATTATGGTCACATTTACTTAGCCCATTAATGCACTAAGTGATAGCACTATGACCTCATTTGGCCACACACTCTTTCACACACACTCACACAAAACTAAGCAATTAAAGTGATTGCTAATGAATGCCAATGGTTATAAGTTTTCCGTCCATTCAAACATTCATTAACAATAGTTATCAACTTATGTAAAAAATATAAAATTAGCTTAACTACAACTGCAAAAAATATGGTTGAAGATAAACTAAAACGAGACTATACAACTGAGATTAAAAATATGTATTTGAAAGCAAAATAAAAAGAAGCCAATGTTTTTTGACACATTGAAGCTTCTTGTGCTAATTATCTGTTTTTTCTCTCAAAAAATTGTTAGCCACTTTAGGTAAACACTACAGTAGGCAAACAAGAACCCTGTCTATTTGCACCAGGTACTTCAGTGCATCAAAATAGAAAAACATCCTCTGGATATATTTTAAAAACAAGTTAAAGTAACGTCAAAATATTGATCAGTCACTGGCAAAAACTAGAGTCACTATTGTATCTTGCTGCAATGGATTACAATTTTACTGTTACTGGTAATATCAATGGTCCAGTACTAGCAGCAGTATTTGCAGTTGAAGCAGTGGTGGGTTTCATTGCTAATATCATTGTACTCTCCATCACACTACATCAAAGAAAGTCCTTCAAACAACCGTCAACAATATTCTTCACTTCTCTCCTTTTATCGAATCTCTTGGATGCATTGGTGTACCTTCCAATGACCACAGTTGCTACAGGAGCTGGAGAATGGATATACGGAAGCACCTTTGAAGTGAGAAGAGCAACTTGCATTTTCTCAGGAACCAGTAACTGGTTCATAGTCTTCATCACAATAGGAGTGCTAGCTGCTATATCATTTGATAAGTGTCTCTTCGTCACTAAGCCACATTTCTACAAGAGGTTCATGAAACCATGGGTAGCACTGACAGTCACAGTTGCTCTATGGATCATCATTGCTTTCATACTAGCACTGCCATCAGCTTTGGGAGCGTCTGATAATGATTATGGATTTCGCTATGGAGCTTGTTACATTACGCTTGAAGACCACCCAGCTTATATTGGATTTTGTTCGCTCATATTCTCAATCTTTATCATCACAATTATAGTCACGTCGATTTGGACGTTCTGCTTCACTTGCAAATTTATACGCGACCAATCAGAAATAGCAGGAGAAAATGTCTATCACTTGAAAAAAATGAAACTTTTTGGAATATTTGGATCAATGCTTCTTGCCTATGGAATATGCTATGGAGTCTCTATGACTATAGGTATTTTAAGTGTTTCAATCGCATTCCCTAATGAAGTACATGCAACTAGTATGGTTGCATTTCAGCTCAATATAATAACAACCCCATTGATCCAATCATATTTCAGGCCAGACATAACAAAGTCCATGACATCATTAAAGAAGTTTGTCCAGACTCAAATAAAGAAGTTGAGATATTCGCCTTCAAGTCCAGAATAACTTTTAAAAAATAAGATCAAACTAGTATAAGACTTTTTCCTATACTACATGTATCTTTCAATACACAATACTGTATAAAATGTTTTTGCAATGTTGTTTTTCTAAAGTTGTTTGTAAATCTTAACACTAATTAAGCTACAATTTGCACATTGGGCTTCAATTAGAGATAAATCCACTACATTTATAAGTAAAATGCACATTCAAAAAATTAGTTTTGACTACAAGTTGACAGCCACTGCATCTTGCCGTAATGGATTACAATTTCACTGCTACTGGTAGTATCAATGGTCCAGTACTAGCTGCAGTATTTGCAGTTGAAGCAGTGGTGGGTTTCATTGCTAATATCATTGTACTCTCCATCACACTACATCAAAGAAAGTCCTTCAAACAACCGTCAACAATATTCTTCACTTCTCTCATTTTATCGAATCTCTTGGATGCATTGATATACCTTCCAATGACTGCAATTGCTACAGGAGCTGAAGAATGGATACTGGGAAGCACCTTTGAGCAGAGAAGAGCAACTTGTGTGTTTGCAGGAATCATTAGCTGGATTAATGTTTACATCATAACAGGAGTACTGGCTGCTATATCATTTGATAAGTGCCTCTTCATCACTAAGCCATATTTCTACAAGAGGTTCATGAAACCATGGGTAGCACTGGCAATCATAGTCGTTCTGTCGATAATCGTTACTCTCATGTTTACACTGCCATCACTTGGCTTTGGAGAATATGATTATCTATTTGACTATGGACCTTGCTACGTTGCATTTCGAAGAAATCGAGGATACGTCATATTTTGTATATCCCTGCTGCTATCCTTCATCATTATAATTATGGTCACATCAATTTGGACGTTCTGCTTCACTCATAGGTTTATACGTGATCACTCAGAAAAGGGAGGAGACAGTGTCTATAACACACAAAGGTTGAAGCTATTTGGCATATTTGGATCAATGCTCCTTGCCTATGGAACATGTTATGGCTCAGTTATCGTTACAGCCTTTATCAGTTATGGAATCCAAATTCCTGAAGAAGTTGATGCTGCTACTATAGTTGCATTTCATGCCAATCCAATAGTGACCGCACTGATTCAATCATATTTCAGACCAGATATTACTAAACCTCTGAAATCTTTCAAAAATGCCATTTGCTCAAAATTGAAGAAGATGGCATGCTCATTTTCAAATTAACTTAAAGAAATCAAGGACAGTTTGCACTTTCTCCAATAATTGATTGTCTTGTTTTAGCTTATAAACTTTATTTATTTGCTAGTTTGAATATAAAATAAGCATTACATATAATAAATTTTATTTAAATTGGCATATACAATTCTTGTGGATTGGCTATGAAGACCACAGCCTGCTCTGTATACAGGACAAATAAAGTTAAAAAACTCCTCCCATTTTTATAACTATGCATAATAACTACCAGTGGACTATAAAGTTACAAACACTGTGAAGAAAACTACAAGAAGCCTCAATGTGATAAATAGAACAAACATCCTCTTTTACAAAACATATAATAGCTAACAAAATTTTGTTGTTCAGTTAGGCTACTAGAAGCTAAGAGAGCTGCATCTTGCTGTAATGGATTACAATTTCACTACTACTGGTAATATCAATGGTCCAGTACTAGCTGCAGTATTTGCTGTTGAAGCAGTGGTGGGTTTCATTGCTAATATCATTGTACTCTCCATCACACTACATCAAAGGAAGTCCTTCAAACAACCGTCAACAATATTCTTTACTTCTCTCATTTTATCAAATCTTTTGAATGTATTGGTATATCTTCCAATGACCACAGTTGCTACAGGAGCTGAAGAATGGATACTGGGAAGCACCTTTGAGCAGAGAAGAGCAACTTGTGTGTTTGCAGGAATCATTAGCTGGATTAATGTTTACGTCATAACAGGAGTACTGGCTGCTATATCATTTGATAAGTGCCTCTTCATCACTAAGCCATATTTCTACAAGAGGTTCATGAAACCATGGGTAGCACTGGCAATCACAGTTACTCTATGGATAATCGTTGCTCTCATGTTTACACTGCCATCACTTGGCTTTGGAGAATACGATTATCTATTTGACTATGGACCTTGCTACATTGCATTTCGAAGAAATCGAGGATACGTCATATTTTGTATATCACTGCTGCTATCCTTCATCATTATAATCATAATCACATCAATTTGGACGTTCTGCTTCATTCGTAGGTTTATACGTGATCATTCAGCTATGGAAGGAGACAGTGTCTATAACACACAAAGGTTGAAGCTGTTTGGCATATTTGGATCAATGCTCCTTGCCTATGGAACATGTTATGGCCCAGTTATCATTATAGGCTTTATCAGTTTTGCAATCCAAATTCCTGAAGAGCTTGATGCTGCTACTATAGTTGCATTTCATGCCATTCCAACAATGACCGCACTGATTCAATCGTATTTCAGACCAGACATCACAAAACCTCTGGCATCTTTCAAAAATGCCATCTGCTCAAAATTAAATGCGGCACATTCATCTTCAAATTAACTTAAAGAAATCAAGGACAGTTTTTCCACTCCCTTAAATTATTGATTGTCATGTTGTAGTGTATGAACTCTTTCTTTTAGCATTTTTTGTTGTAGTGTTGTTTTGCTTATAGTAGTTTGATGATCATTGACAAACAGTAATCATTCATAACATGTGCATGGTATTCCATTAGAAGCCATTTCATTGATTACATAATTACGTTTATGCAATAAGTTTGAGCTGAGTCTGATCAAAATTGAATTCAAGAAACGTGTGTATGGTCAAACCCATCTAAAATAAGGCCAGAATAGAATCCCCCCCATTGTACTGTAACATGTTTATCCTTTGGTTTACAGACACATCATAATTATAATAATTCACATGTTGGCTTGTCTCCTAGAAACTTTTAATAATCACTTTGAGTTTGACCATAAAAACATGATGCTATAATAGCAGAGTAAAGTGTTGAAGATGATAAGCTATGAAGAAAACTTGTATTCTCTCTCTACCAAAATAATAGCTCATAAGCCCAACATGCACTAGACAGCAACTTTATTGCTTACAAAAAAGTTGCTTTGTGTTACATGACCGAAGCAACTTGTAGCAACTTGTCGCTGAGAGGTGAACAGCTTTTACCTTCCGGCAACAAGCTTTCCAGTTGACTTCAAAGGCTACCATGAAGATATAAAATTAAAAAAGGCCTGGAGCTAAATTAATATGTTAGTTTGTCTATATGTACGTACATCAGGGCATAGTCCCATGATGTAATTTAGTAATTAACCAAAGGGTGAGTTCACACCTATGTAGCAGATACAATGCACATTAAGATCGCTTATCACTAATGGTACATGTACATACACTTTGCTACACAATACTTACTTACTCCAGTACATCAGCTAGCGGTGATTCATTCCATTTTTTCATGTCCTTGAGACTCTCTAGTAACAGTTCTCCATTGTCTTGCCAGTAGAGGAGCTTTAATTGGAAATAGAGTCCAAGAGCTGAGCTTAGCTCCAGGTAAAGTTTGGCTGATTCTTGTATTGTTTGAGCAGAGTACAAGTCACTCTTAAGAGAGTGGTACCTTTGGGTTGCTCCTCTATAATTAGAAATGAGATATGTACTCCAATGATACTTCTTTATAGGCCTTTCCACACTAGCACTTGTAACTTTACGTAATGCTTCAATGCGCAAACCGGTTTGAAACTGGTTGGCCACTATCTCAAACCACCTCCATATGTGGTTTGAACGGGCATTCAATAGATAACCCAATGGAAGATGGATCAGATATACTATCATAATAATACAAGATCCTGAAGATAGTGTGGAATCACTTGATGCATATTGAATGCGCATCAGTTCTAAACCAGTTTGAACCGCATTGCAAGTGTAGAAAGGCCTTAAATAGTCTTTAGATAAAAATGTCATTGTAGGAAGCCTAAGGTAGGCAGTTTAAAATGGATTTTATTTCTAGTGAATTAGGTATGTTCTCTACTGTATATTCTATCTTTTATTCTTTATACAAAGTAGCATATCTGTATGCTGCAATTGAAATATCATATTATTGTTGAAGTATTTATGTAGCAAATATAATTGTTACTTACTCTTTATCCAAAATCAAAGTATTGTACTGTCTTTTGCCCTATACAATACAGATGCATATAAAAAATTGTTTTAGTAATAAAAGACATATATGCATTACTGTAAAATTAATGAGTATATTCATTGACTGACCAATTGAAAATCTTCCAAATGAAAGTTGAGGTAAGATACGAAGAGTGTTTCGGATTGTAGAAGAAACAGATCCAACCATTCCGGCTTCTTCTGGCCCTCTCCATCGTGAGAGACTGCTGGTGGGCGTGTCAGTTTAAGAGAGTGGGTTGGGCTTGTTGTTAAAAGGTTTTTTTTGTTAGGAGATGATGTAGGTGTGGTCTGATCATTCTGTTTGTACTCAATGGATAAATGTACGGTACACTCTTGTTCTTTGCCGGATAAGAAATCAGGCTGATCATCAATCTATATGATCATAAACATAACTCATTGATTCAAGTCAATTAAAGAAATCAGGCTGATCATCAATCTATATGATCATAAACATAACTCATTGATTCAAGTCAATTAAAGAAATCAGGCTGATCATCAATCTATATGATCATAAACATAACTCATTGATTCAAGTCAACTAAAGAAATCAGGCTGATCATCAATCTATATGATCATAAACATAACTCATTGATTCAAGTCAATTAAAGAAATCAGGCTGATCATCAATCTATATGATCATAAACATAACTCATTGATTCAAGTCAACTAAAGAAATCAGGTTGATCATCAATCTATATGATCATAAACATAAATCATTGATTGAAGTCAACTAAAAAAATCAGGCTGATCATCAATCTATATGATCATAAACATAAATCATTGATTGAAGTCAACTAAAGAAATCAGGCTGATCATTAATCTATATGATCATAAACATAAATCATTGATTGAAGCTAACTAAAATGCACAAAAATGCAAAAGCCAATTTTACCAATGTATACTCATTAGAGCAAGCGTAAAAAATCCAATTTTGATTGGAATCAACTCAAACTTTCTACACAACATAAGTACATGTATATGCATCAGAAAATGTAATAAAAATGGAGAATTCCCTTCTTGTCAATTTTGCCAAAATTTGGCCCGTGACCATGTACTATAGTACAGGGACTTTTGCCTGATTTTGGAGCAACTTTTAAAAATTCATAAAAAATCCAATTTTAATCGGAATTAACTAAACTTGCTACACAATATAAATACATGTATATGCATCAGAAAATGTAATAAAAATGGAGAATTCTCTTCTTGTCAATTTTGGCAAAATTTGGCCCGTGACCATGTACTATAGTACAGGGACTTTCACCCGATTTTGGAGCAAACTTTTAAAAATTCGTAAAAAATCCAATTTTGATCGGAATCAACTCAAACTTGCTACACAACATAAGTACATGTATATGCATCAGAAAATGTAATAAAAATGGAGAATTCCCTTCTTGTCAATTTTGCCAAAATTTGGCCCGTGACCATGTACTATAGTACAGGGACTTTTGCCTGATTTTAGAGCAACTTTTAAAAATTCATAAAAAATCCAATTTTAATTGGAATTAACTAAACTTGCTACACAACATAAGTACATGTATATGCATCAGAAAATGTAATAAAAATGGAGCATTCTCTTCTTGTCAATTTTGGCAAAATTTGGCCCGTGACCATGTACTATAGTACAGGGACTTTCACCCGATTTTGGAGCAAACTTTTAAAAATTCGTAAAAAATCCAATTTTGATCGGAATCAACTCAAACTTGCTACACAACATAAGTACATGTATATGCATCAGAAAATGTAATAAAAATGGAGAATTCTCTTCTTGTCAACTTTGGTGAAATTTGACGTGTGACCATATACTATAGTACAGGGACTTTTACCTGATTTTGGAGCAAATTTATAAATTTGCAAAAATCTCCCAATTATAAAAACATACCACTGCTACTGATAGTATATCACTGAGAGCTAGTAGTAGTCTTATTTTCTTGACTGGGATTGGTGCAAAATAAAGGTGTGAAGGACCTATGATCACGTGACCATGAGTCCTTTTCCCGCTCCCTCTTGGAACAGAAATGCAAACTTCAGTAGCCACTAATCTCTCGTACTCGCTTTGAGAGAGCTCTCTTCTGAGTAGAGCGTCTAGTTTACCATCAAAACGGGAAGTTGGGACACTTGTGCTAGTCGCCATGTATAGACCACGCCTGTTTAGGCCACGTGGGACCACGTGGGCATGAAGGCGGTACTGCACGCCCACCCCTGCTGCATATCAGAGATCAATGAGATATCAGTCAGAAATCAATCTTGCTGAATTCCTTTGTGTTAACGTTCCTCAATCATTCTGTGGGGAGACTGTGTTTAGCAGTAGCATAAGCGGTCGCTCTTGCCAGCCTCTCATTCCTCACTAGAGAAAGATCACATAAAGAAGAGCCTCTTTTCACAATATTTCAGTACAGTAAGAGGCGGGAGGGAGGATATCTAGTCCCTTTTTTTATTTTAGGGGCCAGTATTAGTGGAGCTGTGTCGATTTGTGTAGTACAATAATGTCAACCAGTACTCATGATGGCCCTAAACTTAACGTGGATGACTTGCTTTTCTTCCCCGGGAAGGTACAGCAACAGTTCCTTCTGATTACCACTCACTCATTCTCTCCCTCTCTCACTTTCTCTTTCTCTTTTAGGAATTGAACGAGACCAACATTGCAGGTCGCAGGTCTCCTCCCCAGCCGATCAGACTAGCCATAGGGCGTCACGGGGTTTACAAGTTTGAGCGAGATAAAGATAAGGTGAGGAGACAAAGAAAGTCTTTATTTATTATTATCATTATTATATTTTATTATTATTTCATTATTATTGTTTATACTGTAGGTACTTGCATTCTGGGGATTTCAAGAGCTCTCTGACTGGAGTTTCTCCGGATACTCGTTTACATTGGTATGAGATTGATGTTTTTTTATTTATTTGTTTGTTTATTTGTTTGTTTTGTTTTGTTTTTAGAACTTTATTAACAGAAAAGTGTATCATTTAAGAACTGATGACGGTCAGGCTATTAGTCACTGGATCGATTCTTTTAGCAAAAACCCCGACCAAGCTTCTGTAAGAGGGAGAGAGGGGGGAAAGAAGGGGAAGAGAGAGGTGAGAAAGAGAGAGGCCATAGAGAAGTGAAAAAGAGGAAGGAAGATGATCTCGCAAGGAGAAGGAAAATGATATATTTTGATACATGTATATATACATACATGCGATCTTGTACACATTATAGTGCAAGTAATAGTTGCTTCTTATCACTTATTGACAAGAAAATACCTTTAGCTGCAAATTGAAGGAAGACAATAGTGGGTGAAAGCTACAAACCATGACAACACACACACACAACAGTGATGCAGCTATTGTATTAAACCAACCGTGAAGAGCTTTCACTTACAGACACAATACATCGATACACACATACACTACAATGCCGACACTATGTGTATTTGGAGAGTTGTGCAACAACATTATCATTGTATACGAACTACACAACTATTGGATTGAGTTGTCAACTCACATAGATATATATATACATGTATATATATCAGATGTATATACATGTATATATATCAAGAGTACATGTATAATAAATTACAATATACACATACAGGTATAATATTACAATGATGTATGACACAGCATATTGATAATTGGATGATGTCAGCAGCACTTTAACATGTAGTAGACATTACCAGCACAGGATTGCATGGTCAGCTTCTCTTAGGGCAGATTATGCCCCAGTAACCACGCCACAATCTAACTACATGTAAAGAGTACATGTACTTGTACCTGGTTCTAATCCATTGATTTCTATAGCAATAACAAAACATGGAAATGGTGCGTGGGAAGACTGTAATACCCCAGCCCCCAGCACAGCATAGATATTTAAATATATGATACACTTGTAGTTACACACACACACACACACACACACACACACACACACACACACACACCATTCTGTGTCACTTGTGAGAATATAAACAAAGTATAGAATACACAAACAGACTAAGTACAGGTAGCCTTCAGTAACAATGCATAAACATGTACATGATTGCGGCGTTAGTATAAACAGGGTTCATGTTGACACTATAATCCACAAGTGTGTGAGATAAATGATGCCATAGCACATTAAATATTTATGTCTGTGAGCACAACCCATGCTCATGCACGTACATGTACATTGTACAGACAGGAAATGGTTTTCTTTAGGCATTTGTGTTCACCCTATAGTCCATTATAAGCTAGGTTTACTCTTTATGATGTACTGGTGTATGTTAGCATTGTGTTCTTCGATTATCTGTTATAATATTGAATCATTTGTTATTATTATTATTTTAGTTGTGGTTTGTAATTGTTATGATTAATATCTAAATTAATACTGAAATTCTGACCACAATTTATCATAACACGTAGCTATGATTATATAGAGTATACATGTTACTCCAAGTTGCTCATAAAATGGACACTACTACATTTTGCAAATTACAATCATTCACTAAACCCACTATTTCAGTTACTTGTGAAGGGACGACACTTGTGGAAAATAACACTTCATTCAGCGTCTGTATCCACATGTGCTTCTCT